CAGGTGTGAATATGTGACTTTGTGTGATTGATTGGCAGGGGTGTTGCTGACAGAGAGCAGACAGGGTCGATCTTTGTCTCCACCATTGATGAATGAAAGATTAATCAGCCCTTCCTTCTCGCTGCCACAGGCTTAAGGACGTAATCATTGTGATGGCCGTCCAAATGAAGTCCCCGCTATTTTTCTGCCGCCTCCTCACACTGACTCATCATAATCAACATGTCTTTGACTCATCATATTAACATGGCTAGTTGGCTCATGTCATAGTAATAACACTAAAAGCCAATGATTCAGTGTTGAGTGAGTTTGACAGCCCATCCACCAACCACGGCATTTTCCTCTTCATCTTTCTATCATTCATTCATTTGCAGCCTTTATCTCCTCCGTTTCTCCTCCCTTCCCATCACCTCTTTATCCTGCTTTCTTTCACAATTTATGTTTCTCTCCACTTTCACTCTGCAGTTCTCTTCCCCTCCTCCTCAGTCCTTTCTCTACCTCCCACTCTTTTTTCATCCTCTTTCACTTCTTCATCTCGTTCTCTTCCCATTTCACTCTTTCTATCTCTCCCTCCTTCGCTCATTCTCACTCCTCCCCCTCTCTATATCTCACCATGCGTGTAGCACTACTCACTTTTTGACTCGGGGAAAACAAACTTCTCACATTGTAGCCCACAAAGGCAAACTTTGCCAGTGAAATAAAGTGTAAAAAACACAAAATCCACTTCTTCTTCTTTTGTATAAAAGTACAGTACAGTAGGTGTGAAGTTCTCCTGGAGTTTCAGCGTCTCTCCTGCTGTCTGCTGTGTTTTGAAGAAAGCAGAATTCACTTTTTATGATATTTCTGAGCATGACTGTGGGAAGCTGAATCAATAGCGGCAGCTCACTAAAGCTCTGGGCGGCAAAGTAAATGAGTCAAACAACAAAGTGCATCACCGTGGACATCAATCACAACTGGCCTTTGATCAATAAAAATACAAAATCAATGTAACTTTCTGTCACAGTTACACACAAAGCTGAACAGTACTTTTAGTGCAAACTGTTGGCGGTTATGATGCCATATGTTATTTCCATCGATTACATTTTCCATTGCTCCATTGGGTGACTGTGTCCTTCCATGACCATAATGCCCTTGAGCTAAACACCAGGTGGTGTGAGAGGGTGCCCAGTATTCTGAAAGTTGCTGGTTTGAACTCTGCAGTAGGTAAAATATTCTTAACAATAACCCTGCAGCTCCACGGGTGTGCATGAGTCAAAAAGGACCTTTTCTTCTTTGTCTTTGTTGTTGTGGTCCTGCAGCTCCCTGTGTGTGTTTGTGTGTGTGTTTGTTTGTTTTCCGCATTTTTGTTACCTATTGGGGACCTTTTGTGGAATAAACACTGACCTTGTCGGGACCAGTTATCTTCTTCGTCCTAATGCATCAAAATGTAATGTAATGTAATCCTAAATGTAATCCTGGTTAGTGTAAGGGGTGGGTTAGGCTGTGCACAATGAATGAAGTAAACGGAATGATAGTTGCACAAATTTGGGGGTGAGGAGATTAGCGAAAATCCAATACAGTGGTGCCAGACCAATCAGGCGTCCTTTGGAAGCTATAGTCATGGTTTAAGGCTTGGTGTGTGTGACGGCATGTGTGAGGGATAACTGTGGCAATGGCGGCTTCTAAAGAGGTTAGCGGTGATGCTGCTAGCTTCTGTTATATCAGAACTGGAGAGTATTTCCTCATTGAAAGAAGAGCAAAGAATGGCACTGAAGGCTTTTCTCGATGGAAGTGTTTGGGCTTCTCGAGACTGACTTTGATAAGAGTTTGACTGCCTTATATGGTTCATTGATTTGATTGGTTGAAACCCAAACAAACCCAAACTGTTTACGATTCAGTCATTTTTGGATCCAAAATAGCATGAAATATTATTATTATACCAATTATTGATCCATATTTAAATACCATATGTTGATTTAAAAATAATAAGATTGATGCAGTAATTTTTGTAATTATATCCAGTGTGTTGGATTTAGTGGCAAAGCCCTTGCCTCACCGTCCAGTTACACGCTTGTGAGAAATTACAGTGGCCATGAAACTCACTAAAGGCCCTGCTTAAAGCCAGTGTTTGTCTGTTCCCTCGAACGCAACATTTCTAATTTTAAGTTGTTTATGCACTAATAAAAACTAACTATGAATATTGTTTTACAATTCGGCCAATAGCTCCTCCTAAATGTTACACACTGGACCTTTAATGTATGTTATTGTGTCATATTCATATCATTACACACTGTATAATACAGTAATGTGTTGTGACATTCAATATTTTAAGTAGTTGGAATGGAAATTAAATCTCATCTCAACTCATTCCTGGTAAAGGTTTTAATAAATCTTCAACAGCAGCATGTAGAGCAGCGTTTTGGCAGATCTCTTGCATGAATTTAAAAGTTTCTGTAAAAAATGGTGTTTCAGCTTTTGGACATGTATTGTGTGCTCTGCTCCGAATGAGAATGGCAGCTGATTGCAAAAAATGTAAAATATAATGGCCTGAATACAGAGCAGAATCACCATTCTGTCTTCCCGTCTGTCTTTTTCTTTCTCTCCCTGTCTTTTCAATTAATTTTGCCATCCTTTCTCAAAAAGTACACTCACATATTTCAAATCTCTTTTATCTAATCTGATTTAATAATTTAACACAGATTTCATAATTTTTTTGTGCATTTATACATCACAGAGGCGACTTGTCTTTTCAGAGATGCCTCAGTTCAAGTCTTCAATAGTGTCTGGGATTCATTCAGATCACTGCTGTCAGCAGTGGTCGATCAAATTCTGGTCTTTTTTAAAAGGTTTCTTGGTTCTTTGCATTAGTATTCTGTAAATAAATGATTTTATCAGGCTAATTATTTCAATTATGCCCAATTTCTCATCAAGCTTTTTTAAAATTATATTTGTAAATAAGTTTACATGATGTAAACAAAAAAAACTGCAGTTATATAAAATTCAGCTACACCTTATCCATACCACTCTGTCATGTGTAGCAAAAACGACTAAATGAGCCATTTAGATGACTGGAAAATGATTGTCCTGTCGGGACAGTCAGTGTGCAAATGCATAATATTGATGTATTTGCAAAGAATGTATTGATGAAAATAACAACCCCTGCCTGCTCTTTCAATAACAGTGAATTAATTTCCTCATATGTCCCAGAATAGTTTGTTGTACTGACAACTGAACATGTTGCTCTCACGCTGTTGCATAACAGATATCTACATGACATAAATCAGTCAATAAATATAAAAACAGACTCCTGAGTTTCAGTAAGATCTGACGTTCAAAAGCAGACAGTTTTAAGGGCAGAAATATTTTAAAACTTAGTGGCCAGAGTTAAATATAGATAACCGGCATTTCAGTACACAATTTGCTTGGCTTTAAAGTGTTTGTGAGAAGTCAACTGTCAACAAATGTGAACAGCACTTGAGCGCAACCACCAACTTTTGTGGGTTCCAATCTTTTTTTGTTCATACAGACTTATTACTTACTACATCACTACTACACTACAACCTCAATGGAATAATAAAGTAAAAAAAGGAAAAAGACATTAATCACATATGGTTAAAAATGACAAACTCACCAGTGAGAAAAGGGGTTAGGTTTAATGGCTCCTTTAATGGCAAATTAACCTCAAATTCAATTTATTCAGTAAAGCTTAACAGTTTAACTGATATCTGTCAGGGCATTATGGTATCACTCTCTGTTCATACAAAACGGCCTGGAAAGACCTGGAAATTGATTAAAATGACCAAATATCCTGTAAATAATTCATGTTGTCCTGGAAATGTTTTATTGTATTTAAGCCCCTCTCTCAGATCACCAACATAAACCTGGGTTCGTATTTTCTTTGTAACTGTTGGTAGGGTAAGCTGTAAGTGGAAAAAATAGACATAATGCAGAAAAGATTGCTGCAAGTCTGTTCTGCTTTGCGTCTTTTAAACCCACTTTGAAGTATCATGTAACACAATAAAGTTTACCCAGAGCCTATTTTTTTTCCGTAGCAGTAGTAGGCCTACTGGTATTTTATATGACGGTTTATATGATTGTCAAGAAAAACTCCTGAAAGTGGTCCTGGAAAGGTCCTGGAAAATGATTTCTTAAAAAAAGTGGGAACCTTGTTTTGAGGATTAGTACATTGTGCACTATATTGTACAATGGTAGTATATATAAATAGCCTGATAGAAGAGCACTTACAGTAACAACAACACTTACAATTACTGCCAACTGGTACTGTTAACAGTTAGCATTAATGTCATACAATCAAAGTAGACATTTAACAAGCTAGTTAGCAAGGTATAGTCTAACATGATAAATGTTTTATTGAATAGAAGTTATTGCCTTGTAGCATTTAATTAGGTACCACTGACGACGGCTTCTAGGGTAATTCAGTATGTTGTTTTAGCTGTAGATGATTACAGTATAAACCAGTTAGCCTCACTGACTGCCTGTCAGAAATGTGTAAAACAGTTTCTTTGGCTCCACTCATTGAGATTTTACTCGGACAATTAATTATTTGTTAGTTTTTCCCATGGTTGTTAATTATTCTGCCTCAAGTGTGGCTCTGCTTCTCATAAATGTTTGTATAACTAAAACTGCAATCTGCTACATTTAAACAACCTACCATCTGTGTCTCTTTGTCAACCAAAATCCTAATAAATTCAACTAAACAAGCAGCTTTTCACCCTTCTTTTCCAAGTTTTGTTCCTGGCTAAGGTGCATATTTAAATGCATTTTGAAATCTGTGTCATGGTTTCAGGCTAACCACACATCCTCTACATGAAAGAAAGCAGTCGGAGCTGTTAAATACACAACTTACTCTTATCAGTTTCCATGACAGCTCTGGTTCATCATCCTAACTGTCCTAGAGCAAGCCACTGAATCAATACAATCTTTAAAGTATCACAAAGAAATGTTGTAATACAGTGGAAATACAATGGTTGTGACACTGCTTGTAATTTCAGAAAGGCCGACAACAGCATTGAACTGTTTTATTCTTAGTGCTGTCTAATCAAACACAGTGCAGCAATACAGATTGATGAAACAGAAAAAACATACTTTGTTCAGTTTCTGGTGTTATTTTTACACAAAACACTGTTTCATTCTGATAAAACATTTTCTGCAACAAAGCCAATGATCATGAAAAGTCAGTATAGGTTTCGTCATCTCTATTCAAGGTGTGGGTTTTGCATATAAGGTCAGGATAAGGACAAGAGTTCAGTTTACATTTAGAATCTTTTTAATACAAACTATGTTTTGCAGTTTTTGCAGTTTGCCAGAGTATAACAACTACACTTGTGTTTTACTTCTGTGCAAATATATAAGTAAGGACCTTGTGGTGTCAGCTGTTATTCATTAATTGTAGTCTATTTTTGTGTACATGTGCTCTCTTTAGGTGCTGGTCAGAACAGAAAAAAGAGAAAACAAGAACATATTCACACTGACAGGAATCAGACCTATTTTTTTAAGTGCAAGCGATTCCATGTCATCACTTTTGCTGATCACCCACTGCCCCAATAAAGGAGGAGGGAGGGTAGAATACTTCCATCATTGTGTACACACTGTAAAATATATTTGCATTTGAAACAGGTCTGAAACCTTTTCGTTGGAGGGTAGAATACTTCCATCATTGTGTGGTCCATTATTGTCACAGCAGTGTTCAGACTTTTAACAGTGTGTTGCCATGAAATCTGTTTAACAAAAAAAACAAACTAATTTGATTTATTACTTGCTTTTTTCCAAGGTTTTGTTTTAGGATTTGAATGTTTCACAGGCCATATGGTCATAAAACTTTATTTAAAAAGCTTATTAAAAACTTACAGTTCAAGTAAAAACGTGAACCTGGAACAACAAGGTTTCGCCATGACAGCAGCAACAACATTATCTTACGGTCTTGTCCACAGGAATTGTTTGCTGGTAACTATACAAGGAATCTGCCAATCTTATTGGTCAAAGACGCATTGCATCTGTTGCAGATAAAACCCGTCAAGCATACAGGACAAGCTTTATGGGTCATTAAGCCCAACTGCTGTGGTCACCAGGGAGCGATGGAGTCACTTTTCCTCCTTGTATTTTATCATAATGTATGTACAGCATTTTTTCACACTATGCACGTGTTGGTTAAGAGCTTATAAAAGCAACATAGGCTCCCAAGGACTGCTCTTTGTTGTGTGTACTTTGATGCTGCTGACAGTACAAAGTCCTGCAGGATCAATGTAGTATGTATAATCCCAGTAAAAAGAACATCCCTCTTGGTACAACTGCTTTATAAAAAGGTGATTAAATGCTCTAAAACAGGACTACAATGCGTTTTATTGTGACTTCTGTGGTCAAAAACAGCTTATGATTATCCTCAACAGGCTGAGCATCCGTTGCCATGAAAATCTAAATTTCAAACATTTCTGGCACACTTCTGGAGTAGCTATTATCATCAGACAGAATGCCCCCTTTAGTTCATCAACATATATGTTAAATATGGAAGATCCAGGATGATAAAGTTTTTATATTAGCCTTATATCATCCTATTTATATTATCCATTACTCTTTGAAAATACCATGATCTGTCTTTACATTTTGTGTTAATGGCCATTTTCTAAGAGATTGGTTCCTCAAATGTAGGATATTCTGGAACCTTTTACATCTTTTGTTTGACAGCCATCTGTAATTTTATCTTTGTTAGGTGTCATTTTAGCTGTTGTCTACACGGAGCTCCACATCGTACAAGCTGTACAGTACACTACTTATCTAGTTGTGATACATATATCAGCTGTGACCAGTTCAACCAAGAATTTTTTATTTTCGTATTTTTTAGAGGTTTTCACAATTCACAATTATACACAAGAAAACTGAACTGAAAAAAGAATCTGTACAGCAGGAGTGTGTTGTTTTTTTCTACTTTCCTACCTTGTTAGTCATCTTGCAAAATCCCAACCCCCAGTTTGGGAACCACTGCTATATTAATGTATCTATATTTTAAGTGTTTTATGTTTGTCATTTAAAGGACAAACATTAAACATTATAAAATAATTCAAGTGCATGGTCAGAATTTATGCTCCACCCCACTGGAAATTAAAATAGTCACAATTTCATCTATAAATTTTAAAAGACTGGGCCTACTAGATTATCTGAAACAGGCTTTCCAGTTCCACCTTAAAGGTAGAATTGGCAGTTAGGTCTGTAAACATACATAAACCAGGTAATAGAGTGAAAGCTAAAAAAGACTAAGCCCTGGGAATGTTGTCCAGTTCATTACTCTTATCGGTGAAGGTGACTAGTTTGATCAGATACATTTATGTGTTTAAGGGGCTGCTCACCCAGGAAAGGAGCGAGGGAGAAAGGCTTTATTCTTTTCAATGGGAGGGCACATTCAGTCACACTTTGTCAGCTTGTCTGGGGCCACATCTACTGAATGTCACAGGTGTTCTACTTTTAATTTACCTTTAAACACATCTCCCCGCACCTCTGTCTTCCCCTCTCAGTGATGCAGCTCATGCTTGGCCAGCAACATCACCTAAAAGTAAGACAAATTGGGTTTTGTTCCTGTTTTTCTTTTGTTATCATTATGACTGTGTGATCATTTCCCTTCTGGTTTGTCAACTTTTAGTTCCATTCACACGAGTTGGAACCATTGATAACAAAAAAAATTCAGTGATTGAGATATTGTCAGGATAACGATAACTTGATTTCTCCATTAGTTTCCATTGTAGATGTGTATGTATAACGCTGTGCTCCTCAGAGGTTTTTGGATGTACTCTGTTTTGGATGCTCTTTTGGAAACACGTGCCTCTGCTCATATTCCCTGGCAAACACTCTCCATAGATTCTATGACAGGAAATGGAGCCGTGCCATGACGGCACCGAGCCCAGAATGAGTACAGTTCAGTGGTTCCAACCTTTTCTGCTCACAACACCAAAAGTGAACTAATTCCTTTACTTACAAGGCTGAAGGCATGGATGTGCAGACCCATGATAGCAAAAGATTTATTTACCCATTTCGGCCTGGGTTACTTAAATTCGGAAGATGATGACTCCAGATGGCCTCAACAATTTTTTTTTTTTTGATAACTTTTTATATCCTATATGATCGTGTTTACCAATCTGAGATGATGATCTGAGTGAGATGAAAAAACAAAAGTTTGTGAGTCCTATTTTTCTCTGGATTAACTTTTGGTTGTCCATTTGACAGTTTCGATTTTGCTCTGATCAAAGCCAATGCAATTAATTTTGACAAACTGGGTAAATCTACCGCATCTCTGTTGCAGTCCCGCTTGGGGATTAAGGCTCAAAAGCTGTGTGTATTTCTGTGTTTCAAAAAATCTTGCACAGAGCAGGTTTAATTAATAATTAGAAAGAGAATAAAGGCGGCAATTACAGTGCTCACACTTCCTCTGCCCTCTGTAGCTCCATCTCACTTAGTTGCAAGCTAATGAGGACAAATTTCAAGCAGCACAGACTGTACTTATACTGGTAGTAAAAAGTATATTCTATATGCTTGAAGTACTGAGAACATGAAAACAAGACTGCAGTCTTATAAGAAATAAGAATTAACACCTCTTTGATACTAATCTCTACACATGAAACACACATATTATTAAAAAAAAATAATAATTCTGCCAGAAATAGGACTAAGCATGTCCCAGCTGTCATGTTCAGGATACTTACACTCAGCATACAGTAAGAGCTTATTCCTGTTATTATACACAGGATATGGCAGAAACATTAAATTAATTGGAATTTTAATGTGCATATATGCACTCTGTCACTGCTCCAGTTGCTGAACCTGTACTTTACAATAATGAAACTCTGAGCTGAGAGTCTCCTAATCTCTGTAGGAGGTGCTGGAATACACCAATGAAATACCTGCTGTCATCTGCTCTCTTTCCTCTTGCGTGCCGATCAGATTTCAACTCCGAGCCTCACCCTACATTAATAGCCCAAGAGATGGCTACGTTAGATACTACAGATAATTTATGTGTGTGATCACATAGAACTAGCCTAAGATGAACAGGTGAAATATATATTGTTCCTAAAGGTTAATTTGACCCCTTGGAAGATATATAATTAATGTTGGTAGCTATAGTGTCGAAATGATCAGTCGATAAATTAATTTGAAGGAGAATTGACAATAATTTAAATACCCGATTAATTGTTTCAAGCCTATCTTCTGAGTGAGTTTCTAAATATTAAGTATAATGGGGTACATGACAACTAAATTTTCTGCCAAAGTTTGAACAGCGTGGTTATTTCACAGGAACATTTTCTGTATTCATGTTTTGTCCTCGCTTTTCTCACTGGTTTGAAGTGGGCGGGGCTCTGTTTCCAAAAAAGAGGTCACCTTATTTCAGCAGAAACTAAAATTGGAGGACAGTTGTGGGTTATATAACACTGGCCATGTTTCCATCAATGTATTTCCATGCAAAAAAAAAATGTTATGCTCTTTTTTTATGTTCACTTGAATTTTTATTTTTTGCCTTTTTTGGAAAAAATAGTTTAATGCGCTGAATGGGGCATGAAAACACTGTTTTCAAATCATTGTGACGTAGCAAAGATTTAATTCACATGATCAGCTGTTTCCGCTCCAACAGTATGCTCATCACTACCATGGTTTTATAATTCATCCATGATCGCTCCACACAGATGTAACCTTCCCCCATTAATGCATGAAACTAAGAGAAATGTCATATTTCCACCCTGTTTTCTGCATTCTTTTGCATTGCGTCATCTTGTTTTGCCCTCTTCTTCTGGTTTTCCGACTGAAGAATTGGCACCACCTACTGCTTATCTCGTGAACCAACTCCTGAAAGAAAAAGTTAATTGATGGAAACAGGCATTAATTTGCAATTTTTGGCCAAGATGATTAAAATTTGGATTTGGATGGAAACATGTCTGTTGTCAATCAAACCACATCCACACAGTCCTGATGAAGCAGATTAGTTTACATGTTTAGTCTTAAATGTTTAATAAATAATAACTAAGACAGTTATACATAGGGAAATACTTAATATTAAAAAATACGTATTAAGGGATTTTAAGTCATTTATCAAGCAAACATGTGTAAATTATGCAGGTACCAGCTCTTCGAATGTAAGGATTTGCTTCTTTTATCTGCTTTTTATCATTGATTATCTTTTGGGTTTGGGCTGACAACACAAGTAATTTGAAGATTGGGGTCTGAGAATTTCTTATGGGCATTTATTAAATGTATTCTGATAGTGTTTTAGAGTGAACACAAAATTAATCAATTGTTAAATTAATAATGAAAAAGAAACATTCCTGGATTGGGATTGTGTCACTCAGAATGTAATTGTAGAAGAAAAAAGTGGGACATTCTGAAAGCTCCAACTTTTAACCGTTATCTTTTGCCTCGATAGTGTGACATGATCAATGCTGAGTGCCCAAGGGACTGCCACGTGTCAAATCTAAAACAGGAGGTGCATAGTTTGAAAAGAGACCCTTGGGTACTGCAACCAGACCTTTTATAATAACTCAGGAAAAGGCACAGACACATTAAAAAAGTGATCTTTTTTCTCTATATATCTGTTGGTGTCCATCCTATCACCCACTAGTTCCTCACATCATTTCCTAAAAAATCTTGTTCGTTCATCAGTGAGCAGCTGGATTACAAAATAGATTGATCAATACATTGTTTTTAACAAAATAGTGGTCATGACTTTTTTGGCACATTCAACACAGATTTTGACCAAAAAAAGCATCTTCAAAAGATTTAAACTCATATCAGGTACGACAGATCTTCATAAGGAGCCACTTAGACCCTTGAAATAAGGTTTGCCCAGACACAGTGTGGTTATTGACTTGTATACAAATTTTACATGTCAGTTGAGTTTTGACCAAAACTTGTCCTCTTGTTTTCATGCTTGTCCACTGAAGCAAACACAATGTTCAGAAACAGTGAAAAACAGTGTCACCGTAGTAACCAGGGACATTTGGTGTTCTAGCTTCATGGGCCAATTCAGTTCCAAAGAACTCACCCATTTATGTTTGTGAGGGCAAGTTTTCCGTGGCTACTGAGAATGTCTATCCATGGTGGTAGTAGAGTGCAAAGCCAGTGTGTAGCTCCACCAACTTGTGTTACAATACAATGTGCAAAAAGGGTGTTCAGCATGGTAGCAACCAGTTTTGACAACACTGTAGCAACAATCATTACAATTGTTAGGGGCAATGATCGTCCAGTAGTTTTGAGTACACTGCAGGAGCAGTCACTATGCAGACAGTATGAGTTCATTGCCAGTGAGTTCAACTTTCCCTCAATTTTCTCTCAATCCTCAATCCTCTTCTGTGTACCTTCATGTGCATCCGTTTAATCACAGCATCCTGCCTCATCTCACCTTAGCAATCATTGCACAAATTTGGGGAAATAACCAGTCTGGCAGCACGGTGGCCTTGTGCCACAGCTTCAGCAACTCTGGGTGTTTTCCCTTATGATTGTCTCTGTTGGTCTCTGCAGCATTGTTGATGACTTACAACTTTATACATCAGTATCTGGCTTCTCCACCAGTTTCAGAGCCTCGTGCATGCCAGCTGCTGACAGCTTCCGATTGATGTTCCGGTAGCGGCACCGCAGGAGGTTACTGTAGGTGGTCCTCAGATCACGGTTGAAAAATGCATAAATGAAGGGATTAATGAGGGAGTTGGCGTACCCGAGCCACAACAGAGTTCTCTCCAGCCAGAGTGGCACACAGCTGCACTCTACCCCGCAGACAAAAGGCCTGGCAGTGGACACCAAGAAGAACGGCAGCCAGCAGAAGGTGAAGGCGCCGACCACGATGCCCAGAGTGGCCGCAGCCTTTTGCTCCCGTTTGAAGATTGACTGATTTTTCCTCTTCCGCCGTTGGTGGTGGTCACCGGTCTTGAGGAGGCGAGAGACTCGTGTGCTGCACTCCTCCTCCACCTCACGCTGGAGCTTCAACGCAGCTGCCACGCAGTCCAAGCTCCCGTCCTCTTCTTCAGCTTCCTCCTCCTCAGCCTCTGTCCCTTCAACGCTTCCTGTTTGTCCTAATACTGCTGGCCGGTGAGCCTCATGCCCTCCTCTTCCCCCTCGGGAAGCCACCACTGCACTGTGCTCCCCTTCTCTGGGAAAGCCAGTGATGGTGTGCTTGGCAGCACTTAGTTTGGCCGCTCGGTAGATCCTGTAATACATGATCAACATCACTGACATGGGGATGTAGAACGCCACAGCTGTAGAGTACACGGTATAGCCGAAGTCCTGACTGATGAGGCAGACTCTGCCGTCATTGACGTTCTGCGCCCAGCCGAACAGAGGGGGGAGGGTGATGGAGGCTGAGAGGAGCCACACTGACAGGATCATCTTGGCCATGCAGCAGCCGTTTTGTCGCACAGGATACGTCAGGGGTTTTGTGATACCCAAATACCTACAGAGAAAAACATGTTGAAAGATCTCAGAAACAAGCAGACAAATTTTATATTTCAAATATTTCTCATCTTTTTAGTAGTACAAAACCAGCGGTTACCAAGTTAATAAATACAATGTGCAAAAGGGCTGTTCAGCAGGGTAGCTGTTGTACATGTAGTACAAGATCTCATCAACAGGCAGACAAAATTAACCTTATTCTTTTTCATCTTTTTTTTTTTTCTCCTTATCCTTCCCTGAGTAAATGATGCTTTCCCACCCTCAACAAGGTGCCCTTGAGCAAGGTGCTTAACAACAATCTGTGGCTGCCATATGCAGCCCCCAGGGGGAAACTGGGGATTTTTATGAAAGAGGAGCTCCAAGATGCTGAGAAAGACCATATGTGATCAGCCAACATTTGAGTGTTAAATAAAGCTCAGGATTACAGTGTATCTGGGCAGTTTGACCACAGAGCACACTGACACTATTAACACATTTATGGTCACACTCAAAAACCTCACTGGAAAAATATTGTTTAAAAAATCCATTTACATACCATAGCAGAGAAATGTTTTCATAATCTCAATAAATAAATGAAATTAGATTTGAACAAAAAGGTACAATCAATAACAATCATTTTTAAATTACATTTTCGAGTAATTTACAGTACATTCCTTCAGAATGCTTTCAACTTCCACTCTGACCCTTTCATTCGATTCAATTAGTTTTCTTCAGTAAGAAAGAAATATGTTACAAGTCGAAAGGTCAGAGGAGTGAACCCCACATAAGCCACTTTGTCTAACCAATTTTGTCAAGTGCCCTTGAGCGAGACCCTGAACCACAGTGAGCCTCCGCGCTCTGACCTCCCTCACACAAATCCCATGTTTCAGTGTGGCGGAGGACTGAGCGACAAAATACCTTATCAGACTGCGTAATGGGAATTTTTTTGTAAGAATGTGGTGTGTGAGGAAAAGCGGAATTAAAGAATACGATTTTGCCAGATTTTGTCTACATGTGGAGAAACAATGCTTCGATGCGTAAAAGTTTAATAAATCAATGAAAATAAAAAAGTACTAATATCCCCATTCATATAATATATATTCTTTTGATATATTGTTTAACTGCATTTAGGGTGCAAGAAATGTTTACTTTGTTGAAAGCATAACATAAGTTTAACTCACCTGTCAATGCTGATTACGCACAGACTCATGATGGACGCGGTGCAGCACATCACATCCATGGCGATAAAAACGTTACAGAAGAACTGTCCGAATATCCACTGACCACCAATCAGGTCCGTGATACTGACGAACGGCATCACAGCCAGGGCCACTGACAGGTCCGCCATGGCCAGAGACACGATCAGATAGTTGGACGGCTGGCGCAGCTTCTTGACGAAGCACACGGAGATGACCACCAGTAAGTTCCCGCAGATGGTGGACAGCGTGAGCATGGTGAGGACTCCGCCGATCAGGACTTTCTCCACCCGGCCGTAGCTCAGGATCTGCTCGCCGCACCGGGTCCCGTTCGTCTCCATGACCTGCGGCTGACTGGAGGTGAACGGAGAAGTCGCTGCTGCCGCTGCTGCAGCTTCTGCGGCGCCCTGCGCAATCATCAGCAACCGGGGCGCAAGAGCCTCCGAGATCATCATGTTGGTGGAGCCCCCGGGATCTTCACCACCGACTCTATCCTCTATCATAAACGGCGACCTCATGTTGCCACTACCGAAGGTTCCGTTACTTGCTCCCACAACAACCATTCTGCTGCCTTCTGTTCCTTTTTATCCATGGACTTGGAGACCCGTCCGGTGGTGACATAGACGCGCACAGATGTGCCGTTGTTGGTGTGCGAAATGAGTAACTCCTTTGCACACCCCCCTCAGGCTAGACTACCCTGACATACTCTCTTTGCATTCATAAAGCCTCGACGCCTAAATTCTTCTATTTAGAGGCATACTCGTCATTACGCACGTGGCGCGCCGCAGGCATATTCCCAAAATACCTGACCTATAAAATACAATATTACTTCCTGTTGTCTGTGGCCACCCTGGCTACAATCCCACTTTTCAGTCTGATGTGCAAAGAGACTGAAACTTAAAATCCGCATTGCGCGCATATTCATATCCCAAAAGTTGACGTGTGACGTCAAAATATGTTGGATAGCCTATAGGCTGCAGAATAATAGAGTATCTAAACACTTACACAATCTCCTGGGCCTTTTTGGAGTTCATTCTGGCGAGAATGTCTTGGCAAGGACAAACTGTATCCATGGAGGACCGTGCGTAATTGCGCAGAATAAAGAAGCGTTGTCTGTCGATTTCAAATGTATTTTGGTGTCGCCTGTGTTATTAAGCGTTTCTCCCTGCGCGCACACACACACACACACACACACACACACACACACACACACACACACACACACACACACACACACACACACACACAGGAGAGAGAGAGAGAGAGAGAGAGCCAAAGGGGGAGATTAGACAGAATGTGAATGGATGATAAATGATGGTGTGAAACAGTGGGCCGTCGCCGGGCATTTAAGAAAATGTTCTACTTTTATATAAATAATCCATCCAAGAAAAACTGAGGAACATTGTGTAATAGTTTTGGATGATAGCAGTACAGTCTTTTTATGATTTGTTCCAGGGTTAACTTGGTCATTACATTTTTAAGGGAAAAGTCACGGGATGGTTAAATGATTTTTGTTCTCATGAAGTTTAATTCTAAACGTCGGTTGGTCCTTATGTAACCAAGGTGAGGGAAGTGAAGTGCTGATCTCCCACAATTCCACCTTGAATCATTTTGCTATTTACAGTTCAAGCGGAAGCATTAAATTATGAGTGTTCGGACAAGATGTGCAATCTACCTTCATCTCACTTCATAAACGTATGAGATTTATGTTGCTGTAGGTGAGAGCAGGAACCCAAACTGCTCCCGAAACCTTTTCATCATTTTCTAATCGGAGCCCAATTATTGTATGATAACCCCCTACGTGGGTATGATACTAATGCGGCTAGTAGCCTTGGATAGTAGCGCCCTAAAGCGGCCATAAGCCTCTACTGCATGTTGTTGCTGGTGTAGTTCAGTGCGGGGACGCTCCCTTTTTCTCAATATGAGATTATGTGCGTTTTTAAACTTGAAAGAATTTGTATAGTGTTATGTGTTTGCATTTCTCTTACAAGGCATATACATGACAAGATTCACCTATAGAATTATATTTTGAAAATGACTAATTGAAGTACTGCAGTTCTCAGACTAGGGTCTCGGGCCCTGGCAAATAGTATGATTATATTTCGCTCAAATTTAATCCACTGGAAGTTGTTTCTCAAAGGCAACATAACATCATAAGCTTCACTTTATATGAGTTATTTTAAGCCTTGTGTACCTTCAAAATGAAGCAACGTCCACTTGTCACAGTTTATGGAAGAATTTTCTTCCTCGATTCTGTGAAGGAGCTAAAACTGTCCAGTATTTTAAGAGTAAAGAAATAAAAAGTTATAGTCTTTATTTATTTTTATTTTTTTTTTTGGACCCCTGGTGAGACGTGTGTTCTTTAATAGTAATTATATTATGCAATATAATGAGCATAGAATCTTATTGCAATAGGTCTGAGTCTGTGCCAGGAAAGCATTTGAGAAAGCCTGTTGGTGAAATTATTTAAATAACATTCAATGGTAACTTTACCAGGTGATATTGTTGCTATTACACTACAAAGTCAAATTTAATCAGGGTACATACACAAGAGAGCAGCAAAAAATAGCCTACTACGCAAACAAGACTCTTTAAACAGGTCAGACTGCTTGAAAGGACGTCTACCTTGAAAAGTCTATTTGAACCTGTAGCAGCAGCACAGTTAGACAGTGTAAACCACCACTAAAGGGTACAGATTGACACCAACAGAACCTGACCTGAGCTCATGTTAGCATTATTGACTGGAACCCCTGTTTGTGTAACTCTGGGAATAAGTACAAGCTTTTTAAAAAGGCCTTAAACATATTCTTTACATTGAGTGTACTCAGTGAATCCTGAGCAATGGAAATTGTTAACTGAGCATTTCATCACTTCTGGTTACCTCGTCTTGAATTCTTTGGGTTATTTTGAATGGGTTTTTGGTTTGAAAGTCTGTGATTAACACAAGCTTAAGAGATTTTCATGTTTTGTTCTACAACATAAAATACATCCTTAAATACCCTACCTGTCAATTTTGAAGCTTTTACGCGTCTTAAAAAAGGTGCTAACAAGTGGCTAAGAGAGACTATAGAGGATGTCCGTGACATTGGACGTTGATTTTAGTGAAGAGTTGGAAAAGTTGGAAGTTTAGTGGTAGTGACGTTGAAGTCATGTGGCTGTGGTGTAGCTATTTTGTTTATAGCACAACGTTAGATTGTTTCTCCTGGCAATTGCATTTAAAAATCACTTCAAAAATCCTAAAAGTGGTGTTCATTTGTGAAGATAATCTCGCTGAACAAAACGTGTCATAAGTATCATAAACCTTTGTTTTCCACAGAGCTTATTATCTGCAATAATCCAAAATCCAATGGAAAAACCCCATTGGCTTTTTGTCATAAGAACCAGGGCGATCCTAACTTCTTTTCTTGGTCGGCCTAGAAAAATATCTCTGCAGCACTCTATACAGCATACAGTAATATTTTAGACAGGAAATCAGGGGAAGAACTTTATTGGCCTGCATAGAGCCCTGACTTCAACCCCATCCAGCACCTTTGGGGTTAACTGGCATGACGTCTGCAAGCCAGTCCTTATCGCCCAACATCAGTGTCCCAACCTCATCGGCTCTCTGGTAGCCAGTTTCTAAAATCTGGTTGGAGGCCTTTCCAAAATAGTGCTGGCTGTTACAGCAGCAGAATAATGCCTACAGTCTATGACTGTCTTGTTCTAATCAGATATGGATGTAATGTATAAGTGCCTTTTGGCCATAAAGTATATCAATCTATAAAGAATTAGCAGATTGTAAAGTGGATCAGGGACAGAAAAAGGTGCTGAAACGTAGATGCACCAGCCACATCCCTGATGAGTGTACTCTGAAGAAAGCATGGTGGGACTGCAGTGGAATACATCTTCAGCTTCCCCATCGCCTTGTGGAGCGAGACCCTAACACCAGGTGACAGGACTAGCTCAGCCTGAAACCTTTGTTTTACCATAAGAGAAATCAGGGTTGCAGACAGGGTTTACAAATAAAAGAAGCAGACACATAAGCACCACATTTCAAAGACAAATCACCAAAGATAGGCCAGTATAAAAACACATCTGATCGGGAAATATTATCTAAGAGCAGACTGGGCATTAACCGCTCACATTATAACACAAAAATGTATGAATGGGTCTCTTTTTGTGTTGGCACATGGCCATTTTGTACTATAGGAGAGTGTAAATCTTATATTTATCTGGAGTACTGACTGAGTAACTAAAAAGCTTTGTTGTCTTTTAAGAATCAAATTTTTCTTTTCATAATTAAAGTCATGATTAGGCAACTGTATGCCTGAGTAAAAAGCTGCCAATCATCTTCATCACTCTCATTGCTTAGGAGACCTCAGTTTATTGTTCGAGCCCCTTGTGCTTTTTTAATACACCTGCTGTGATTTAATATAATGACATTTTAATACCTGTTTTCACCATCTGTGATTGATTTTATTATCCTACCTTCTTTGTGTTGCCTTATTATTTTAATGTCCCATTCCATGATCCTGATAGGAACAGGCGGGTCAAGCCAATGAATATATGAATAAATGAATAGGGAAATGACTGAGTATCAATAATGTCCCCTCTTCCGCAACAAAATTGTTTACCAAGCACATTAAACTGTATTTATGAAGGTCATGTTTCTTTCCTCTGGTATTAGTCTTTTGTTATGAAAATTTGACTAACTCTCTGGCAAACACTTTAGCAACAGTAAAACACATTTTAGGATAAAGTTATGACTTATTCATGTTCTCCAGGTTGTTGGTAATTTGATACTTTCAGTGAAGTACTTGCTGTTCTCATTGTTATACTGCAGGGCCAGTAGCTGCGCAGACTACAGTATATGCTTTTTAGTGGTTACTTTGATTGTTACTAGGGATGCCAGTGTTATATTATTATGTAGGTCCAATACTTTGGCAAATATCTTGGAAATGTTTGAATAGATTACAATAATATTAAGTAGGCTACAGACGTTCATGGTCCCCAGTGGATATCCTACTGAATTTAAATATCACCTGTCCTTCCATCTCCTGCTCCTGCTGTCTAACACCTCAGTTGATTACAGATTACATTCCTGGCTAAAAGAACATGCTAAATGTTACGTGCTCGACATTAGCATCCAAAAAGCAAAATTCAGGCTAAATAAATGTTTGGCTCAATTTCAGCATGTTAAAACCTGTTTGTGTTTGTTAGCCATAGAAGCAATATATTAATATGCAACCTGGTAAGATAACAATGCTGTAAACAGGTCACATAAGAGTTCTTCAACAACAATATTCACTGAATGTTATTAGCTACATTAATTAGCCTTTATCATTATGCTAACATTGTCTTTTGTTGTATGTTTGTTTCATTGTCTTGTTGTTTTGTATTTGTATTGTGTTGCCCCTTCCCATTTAATGATCCTGATGGGTGGGTAAGAATAAATAAATCAATTCATAACTTTATTTATTAACTTATTAAGTCATAATGTTAGCCATGTCACTGGTAACGTGCTAACACCAATCATACATGACTTCAACAGGGGCGTTAGCATGTCAGCCTGCTAGCAGAAAAGTTCTACATAATGTGCCAGCAGACACCAGAGATAATTTGACTTTAATATATAACGTTATATATAAAAAAATATAAAAAATAAAAACATGAAAAGCCAAACAGACATTGTACTTTCTTATCGCGCTTGGTGTGAACTGGCCCTTTATTCTGAAGGCAGCTCTCCGTGAGCTTCCTCCACCTGTCGCCCTGCTGAGACAGGAAATCCCACTCCGGTGACTCCATCCATCCCTGCCACAGTTTCAAGCTTCCCCACGGGGAAACGGGCTAAATACTGTGTTGCCAGGTTGGAGAGAAACCCACCGTTTAGCGGAAGGCTCTGTGTGGCGCTGTGGTGTAGATCCATGGCGTGCCAAGCATTTTGGTTTGAGGGATTGAAGGAACCGGATCTGGATTTGCGTGCTGAACACAAGAATCAGCTGGAACGGATCTCAAAACCCGGCAGTGCTGAGGAATAAATGACTGACGACGATGAGAGAAGGGCGTTTATTCATTGAATCTATCCACCGCTGGATGGGTGGCAATTTATGATGATTATTTGTCAGATGTCAGATGATCTTCACTGTTATTCCCGGAAGCCATAGCTGTGGATTTTATGCTGAAACCTCAGACACTTCCTCCTTCCACCTTCACGGGACTGACGGCTGGCCTGACATTATTGGCTGCTCGTTGGGAATGAATCATCGCCTTCATCAGGGGGGTTCAGGGATGCTGTCACTGTCACTGCGCCCTTAAAATACCACAGACAAACCCCACACGTACACAAACCCACCCAGCCCCTGCGTGTCTCTGTCCTTAGAGATTACAGGGCCGATTGTTCCGTGGAGCCAGCATGGAGGAAATCCTGCGAAAGCTGCAGAAAGACGCGTCCGGCCACAAGCACAAAGCTATCCGCGATGCCTGCGTCTACGCCTGGGGTGAGTGTACAGCAGCCCCCCCCCCCCCCCACGGGCTCTCCGGCTGCAGGAGGGGGGCAAAGGGATGGGGCAAATGTGCAACTGTGTTTACCTGCTAGCTTTTAGAGACAGAGAGAGATAGAGACAGAGACAGAGAGAGAGAGAGAGAGAGAGCAGCTACACTAATCCCTCAGGCCTATTATCTTAAATGATTGTGTAGATGTATAACAGTAATTAACGACATCTTAAGGAAAATCTTTCTTACAAGTTGAGAATTTATTTATGGTTGCCACCCAAAAGACTGATAGTAGGGTAGGGGGGGATTTCCATGTGCTGATGGGAAGCTCCATCATCCAAAACATAAGCAATAGCTGCACCTGCTGTTTTTAGGTACTGGCTCTTGAGGTTGCCTATCATCGTGCACAGCTGGGATGAAACCTTAACGACTAGGTTCAGTTTGAAATGCAGTCAATTGTTCGTAGACAATAAGAAAATCATGATATTGTGCAGTGTCCATTTCTTAATGTGAGATAACTTCCAATAAGGAAGTTCATTATTTCTAATTTGATTATCTTTTAAAAATAGCCTAAAGGGAACTATATCTGAATTTCATTCTACAACCTTGCATTGTAAATGACAATAAAACAATCGTGAATCCTTAGAAGTCAGTTTTTCTGTATTCAAGGTTGCACATAAATGCATCATTTTCTATCAGTTTACACTGGAACTGCTCACACTATTGAGAGGCAGAACATTTTACTTTACAGACTTAAAAATCACTTAAACAACTTAACAGTACATTCATTTTCTTCATCTATACACAACTTTAAGTTCCCACAAAATGTCATGGTTAAATTTGACTTCAGGCTGAAGGCTTGTTTAGCTGTGCCTTAACTTAAGTTTTCAAGACCTTTTAATCATAAATTTAAGGGCAGACTGACAAGAATGTGTAAGATTTAGGAACAATATGGGTCACATTTAATTATAAATATATACGGTATCTTATGTACACATTAATGGCATTTGAATGTATATATTTCATTTGTAAGAACAAATAATCACAGTAGCCTGTGTATTCAGTCCATTGTGGCCATACAGCCAATGATTATTGAGAACATAAAAAGTACAATAAGATCACAGGTCATTATGAATACTATATGCAGGAATATCTAAGTACTTATAATGTTAAGCAGCTGTGTCAATAGCTGTTTCACAGGCAGTCATATGATGACATCATGCATAACACAGCTCACTCAATAGTGTATATGTAGTTAGAGGATTGCCATAGGGCTTTAAAGAGTAACCAAACCCCCAAAACACCCCTTTCTGCTGAAAACCTCTATGTATGTGGGTATTTAGTAGTGTTGTTGATTGATTCAGGTCCAAATCTTGACATTTAGTGCAGTATTTGAATTCTACATATTGTGCTAAAAGCATACATACCTTAAACAAGGTATCAAAGAGAAGACATGAGGCTCTCAGTCTCAGTTAAAACAGGGCCAGTTTTACAGTAATCTAATAGAGCAAAAGCAGATCAGTGTAACAATAACCACAGCACAAACAATGACGTTTTTGCTGACTCATTAGTCCTCTCTTGCCCTACTAAAAGGGTGGTTCAAATTAAAATCATTTGCCGTATGACGTAGAGTATCTCCATGCTTGGAAACTATGAAGAACCTTGTCAAGACCTTTCCTTGAAACCCTTTGCGAGTCTCATTACTGTCTGCCTGCACAGTTCAGTGCTTTCCCCAGAAGCTCTCCTCGTCAGCGAGGCAGAAAAGCCTCTGAAACAGCATTCAGAACATGAAACAGTGAACTTGTCACAAAGAAAATACATTAAACACCAGAAAAAAGGCGGTTTCTGCTGACGTCAGTGGTGATATTGTTAGTTAATAGGCATGATGGACCAGTCTGACCTTTTGGTGGGCAGTGGAACTTCGTGAGACAGCAAGTATAGAATGGGTTTAGATTGTGCTGATGAAGGGACAATCATGTAATCTTACACGCACACACGCACACGCACACACACACACACACACACACACACACACACACACACACACACTGAATTTATGCACACACACTCCAAGACCATGTTTAAACCTATTAGGGCATGACCAAAGTGGACTGCAGACCTTGGAGCCGTGCATGTGCTTGCATACACTCACAAACACGCAAGGTGAATGTGTAGTTTGAGTTCTCATTTGCGACCTATTAAACAGACTATATCTCATGCTCTATATTTCAGTCATGTCTGCAGTCTGACTGATGTGGATTGACAGTGCAGTTGAGCACAGTGTGTGAAAATGTTTCTGCAGAAAACCAACGGACTAATGAAATATTTTACTGACTGCTTTGAACTGTTTGGAGACACGCCCATAACATTATACATCATGCAGAAAATGTCCCATGTGAATGCCAGCTTGGACACACACATACACGCACATACACAGAGGGCACATATATGACAATGTACAGTGCAAGGGCAAGGCTAGTGTACACTAAACCTTGAAACACGTCAGCAACATGACAGCCTGTGCCGAGCGGGAGGAGATTTATGGTGAGTTTAGGAGACACCAGCGAGTCTCATATTTCAAGTTTCTGCTGGAAAAATGTCTCTTGTTAGCTGCACGTATGAAGCCAAGGTGAACATTTCCAAGGTTTCAGAGATAAAGTTATTTGATGTTCACTTTTAATAGGAGATACACATGGGTACAGATTGTGTACAGTATGTGGGAGTTGTTAATATCCATCTGAAATGCAGCTTTTGATTTATAGTCATTGTATCTGGGCCTCGGCTCTGTGCTCACTAACTAGCTATTGTTAAATACTGTTGACAGTAGCTTTTGTGTGGGGAACCAGATTCAGAACTAGAATCCTTGGATAAAGAAAATCTCACCTTTCTGAGCTCGACAAACCAAATAGTGTACAGCTGGGAACTGATTTTTTCTTTTGGTAAATGTAATAGCATCTGCCAGGCGTTGTTAATCACAGTGTTTCCTTTTCTTTACTTCCATGGAATTACAGAAACCCTTGAGTCTCAGAATGGATCAGCCAAGATTTCCCCTTCACAACTTCGGTAAGTTAAATGATACAATTAGTTTCATTTCGGTCCACAAAGCTTTCGAGGGCATGAAGTCAAAACTTGTTAAAGTCACTGAAGCAAGAAACAAAAAACTTAACAGAACTTACAGAAACTCTCTGTATAATGTTCATACTGTAGAACCAATGTTCACTAAGTAATGTTTCATAAGAGCTGTTGATTGTTGGGAGCCAGAAGGTTTGTTAGACCACCTGAAATGCTTGAATTAAAATAAGGTAGCTTTGCCTTTACAGCTAAAAATTCTGTGCAGCCAGTGCTTTTACTGCAGGGAATAGATAACTTAAAACTGTTCCTCTCTGAGCCCTGTGGCTTGCACACCTCTATTTTACACAGTTTGTATGCTTTGAATTCATTTGAATGATCAAATAATTCCTGCGATGATAATGCAAATATTGAACTTGAGCACTGAAGTCAGTCATTGTGTCTTTAAGCAACAGTGTTACACATCAGTTCGTTTAAACACGGTGTAGTGAACACCACTATAGTATAATTGGCAGGGAATATATTCATTTAGACAACCGGAGCCAGACACAATAACATCTGTCTGTACAAGACTAACTGGTCAAGATTGTGCAATCCAATACAGCAGCCCTCTAACAGATAGGAACTGTGTGAAGCTTAGAAAAAAGTTAGATGAGACTGTCAAAGAAGTGGTGATTCACCTAACAATTTATGGGGAGACCATTACATTCAGACCTGCACAATATAATAGTACAGCATTATTATAATTTATAATGATTTTCATTCGTTTCTAAAAAGGAGCAGATAGGCTCAAGCACATTAGATTGTATCTTCCTACACATCCTGCACCAACAAGATACTGATCACTGCTGTTTACAGTAAATCAGCTCTCCTTGAGGATGAGTACACCTCCATAAAATTGAAAAACCTCAACTCAGAGTATCTTCTGATACCGATCCGATGTCAGTACTCCTTTTTCCCTAATTAAAAATCAGTATACCTCACTGCATAGAACTCACTTGTATCCTGTTTATCCAAGGTAACATGAGCCAAGGGATTCTCTGTGAATAAAAACTGATCAACAGCTCACCATGACTTAATGAATGTAACTGAGAATGGAAAATATTGTGTGCTGTCAGTATCTGCTCCGATTTGACCGGTGTGTCCCTACCACAAACCATAGACCTGAATCTAAAACTAAAAAAAAAACAGAAGTTTACTGTACGAGCTAGTAACAGTTGAAGGTTGATTGTATCTGCTGTTTTGGATTATATTCAGTTTTACAGAGTTCACCCCCTTTTATACTAATAAGGACTATTAGATTATGCTGAGAAAATCAAACTGGACAATTACAAATGCAGACAGCTGTCCACGGACTGTAGCCAAAAAGTTGTGCATCTCCAATACTGTGCGGTTGCCAGTCGCTGGGTTCAAACTTAGTCCAGTATTTGCTTTTGTTGAACTCCTAAATTTTCATTGTAGGACTATTTTTTGCATGTGGAAATAGTCCTGCATATTGAAGCTCACTCTGTTTTGATTAAGAGTGTATATAATGTATAAAAGTAGAGTGAATGGAGAGCTGCTGCTGGCGGCCGTTGGTTAGTAATGAAGGTGCTATAAATTCTGGATGCTGTTGCAGCTCAACGCACCATCAATTATTCATTTAATAACCTATTGTTTTATTAGAGATTATTAGATTAAATATTGATGATAATGTCTTTGTAATGTAGTGTAGTGGTTCTCAGCCAGTGCGCTCCTCTGTCCTTACAATGAAGATTTCAAGCCTCTTATTATAAAATGGGCTCTCAGCCACTTGAACAAAGAGGACATCCACTCTTACAAACTGACTGATGGAGCAGAACAATGGTTCTTTCTGAAGGATAGTTGCTATGGGAGGTCCTTGATTGACAGAATAGAGAGATATATAGCATATTTAGCTCGAAAGGTAATGCTTTTATTCATTCTGCCATATAAATAATTTGAAAAGCATGGAATTGGTGGTTTTATGAACATTTGTGAGCAGTTGATAGATGGGTTATGGGCCTTTAAGCTGTTTTGTTGTTTGCTCTGCTGTTGACTGAGATTCTCATACAGATTTGCCTGATTTCTTTGTGTCTTTTGAAGTTTAAGGAGCTCTCTAGGTGCTCATGAATAGTGTCTAGGCTCATTGGGACTGTTGGGAACTGCTGGGTACTGTGCCAACTGTGGCTCCTTACAGCCCATTTGAACCAGTGTAGTTGTGACAGCTCAGAGCGGCCTGAGGGCTCAGAGATGAAGCCCTGTAGCCTGCTATCAGCAGCAGAGAATGGTGACTCAACCAACTACAAATAATGAGAGGGAGCAAGTGTAGAGCAGAAAACAAGAAGACTGAAGAAACACAGCTGGGTTATGTAACTGACTCTGTCCTACACTATCATGTTAAATTTGACGGATGTGGTTACTAAGAAATTATTTAAGAAGTTATTTTAATCTTTATACAGTTTACCGTACTGTATTTTCCTTCCCCTAGATCGTTTGTTACACAGAACCATCAGGAAGTCATCATTGGAAAGTGTTTGGAAAAGGGCAGGCACTTTAAAAAAATACTGGTGATTTAATGAACCATGTGTCTATCACTGAATGTCATGGGCGAACTTGAACCAATCAGATCAATGAACCATATAACGTAGTCAAACTCTCACCGAAGTCAGTCAGGAGAAGCGCAAATACATAATTTCCATCGAGAAAAGCCTTCAGTGGCGTTCTTTGCTCCTCTTTCAATGAAGTCAATCTACTACTCTTTAGTTCTGATCTAACTTCCTCAAAGGATGCTTATTCGTCCGATACCACTGTAGTCTGGCCCCAAATGCATAGTTTGAATCCTGGCAAGACGAATTGCTTTTTTAGCGCCCTGATATCATCAATGACTGAATTAAAAGCAAATTGTAAAGAACAGACAAGGTAAAACAAATATAATGAGCCCAATATAAAGTAAAATTAAACATTAAAGCCAGCAGATTACTGGTAATGCTTTTTATTTTTTAATTAATCTTTTTTTGGCATTGGGTTAACTGAGTACATTGCTTTGGTGTCTCTGCAGAGTCCAATTTTGAAATGTCTGAAATTGACATTGTCAGAAACTAATTGCATTAGCTTGCAGCAGTTATCACAGCTTCTCAGCCTTTGCTGGGCACTAACAGCCCAAAGACACTGCCCGTCTGACTGCATCTCGAGTCCAATCACTGTCAGCAGTGACATATCTCTGTAAGTGTGACTCAAGGCAGAAATGAGCCCAGAGTCTGACCGTATCTTGTTAACTCTCTTGCACAATTTCCAAATTCGTTTTTGACGTGTTTATTGTTGATTGCTTGGATGGTGTGTTTCATTATTATTAGAAATCTGTGTCAGTGTTTAAAATAACCTGAAGTGTACCGTATTGACAAAACGCAGTAGGTTTCTCTCCCATTTATGTCAGATTTGAATTTGAGAGGGTGATAAAGTAGCTTCTAGCTCCAATGGAACATAGTGACCCTTTCAGTACCAGAACAAGGACAAATGGGAGGAAGAGTCAGCCTTCTATCTCCTATTCTCCTTGTATGATATACATATAAGCCCGTCTTGGGAGCAGCTCTGTGTGTCTCTTTGGTCCATGAAATGTGAAGCCAGAGGACAGAAGCATCACATAACTTGTTTCTCCCTCCGTTGTGATTCGATATTCTGAATTTGAAGTATGTACAGTATCACTAAGAGCAGGAGAGAGACCATCTCATATTGTGCTGATGTGCTTTCCCCTCAGTGGTCCAAAATCTCACTTTCTATTAAATATTGAAGTTGTGGGACAACAGTCAACATCTCCTACTGGTTGCAGTCTGCATCAGTCATCTGTTTACTTTATTTTGATTGTGGTTGGATTATATCTAGAACGATAAGAATCCCAGTCTCTCTCTCTCTCTCTCTCTCTCTCTCTCTCTCTCTCTCTCTCTCTCTCTCTCTTTAGACAACTAAAACTACCACCAAACTACTCAGCCAATATGATGAAAACACTTTTCCTACAATACTTTTTACCGAAAGCATTAATGACTGTGTGTGTCCTTCCAGAGAGCGCTGTCTGCTGCCTCTACAGATGGCTCTGGAGTCTAAAAACACCAAACTGGGACAGACAGCACTTACTGGAATGCAGGTACTGGAGTATACAACATAACTGTAACTTCTGTAATTTCTCTTCCAACAATTTTATTTTATTCTTCTTTACTTAACAACATCTTCTTAAATTAAAGAAGAAATGCTTTGTTATAGATTCACCATTAGCCTGAAATCACTTTAAGCCTCTTGAAGATCAGTATAATCAAATATAAAATACAGATTTATTTGGACAGATGATATGTATATATGGTGTTTTTACATACAGCAGAAGTGGTCTGCTTTGTCAAACGCTCTTCCCTCTGCCTTTCTCCTATCAGAAGCTCCTGTGTGAGGATAGGTTTGTGGGTGGGGTGGGCGTGGAGGTGGAGGTCCTGGAAAAGCAGCTGCTCAGCCAGATGTTGGAGGCCATCAGAGTCACCCCATCTCTCCATGAAGACTTGCAGGTGGAAGTCATGAAGGTAAGACCTGGGGATGTATGATTTAAGTGTCTAAATATCAATCTCTGCCAGTAGACTCTGAACTGGTTTGTATATTTAAATGTTTCCACTGTATTGCAGAGTGCACACTCAGTCTGCAGTAGGCCTAGATTAAAATGAGTAAAGGGATGTAAATATGCTTGGCAGCTCAACAGCTCTGCATGAAAAACATTTTTGCCTGCATTGCAGATTTTCTTTGAAGGTTTCCTGTAATTTGGCCTCTTTAGAGCTCAACCTCCATGTTGCTGTGTGCCAATATGTGTTCAACTTAATATGGACTAACTTTATCACAGTAATAGTTGCAATTATTAGTCAATGAATTGATTAGTTTTCATCTATTAAATTACCAACTATTTTGATAATCGATGAATCTCTCTGATTTCAACTATTAAAATATGAATAATTTCTAGTTTCTTTTGTCCCCTATGACAGTAAACTGAATATATTTGGGTTGTGGACAAAACAGGATATTTTAGGATGTTACCTAGGGCTACGGAAAGCAGTAATCAGCATTTTTCACCATTTTCTGACACTTTAGGGAACATCTAATCAATGCTTGACAGTTTGGTCCATAATGGAATTAATCATTAGTTGCAGCCCTAGTAACTGTTTATGATTGTGATCAGGTTACATCAGTTAAACTCTGTTTCCCTCAGCTCTTAAATTCCAAGGATGATAGAAATATTCATCACTGACTTCTCTTTTAGGAAGTAGAACACTGTGTTTCTATCTCCTGTGTGCAGGTCCTGCTGTGTATCACCTACTCACCAAACTTTGACATTAATGGAGACTCCATCCTCCGGATTGCAGAGGTAGGACAGCTTGAGTCTGTTTGATACACATCAGCTTCATCATCAGTTATTTGATATTTTACATCTAGCAGCAAGCAGGGACTTTCTTTTTGCTTCAGCAATACTAATCAGTAATACAGCAGCTGTATTTGGATTTGCATCTGAGATACAGCCAAGGGTTCAGCCAATTAGTTCTCTGTGGGTTTTTTGTTTGTTTTTATTTTATGTACCTGGTATTAGAATAAAATGATTAGATAGACTACTTTAACGTCCATTTACCTCCTATTGTTTGGTTTTACTTCTTTGTGGAGTTCTTAACTTTCACCTGATGAAAAAGCAAAATTGAGGCATAATTTTCCTCCCTGGCCACAGCATTGACTGGTCTGTTCCAGACCATACTGCTGATAGCTTTTTTTTTTAAGAAAAAAAAGAACAGTGAACTGTTAGCATATAGCAGGCAGTACATGAGCTCTATTTTTAAAGGTGAAGCTTTGTTCCGTCCCTACTCAGCCGAAGGCCTTGTCTCACGCTGTAATCTCATCCATTATTCAGAAAGTTGAAATGAGTGGTCTTGCACACACACAAACACACACAGGCGTGAAGATGAGCTGATTTCGGAATACACGAACAAGAACAGAAGAGAATTCTTACAAGAAAGGAGATATTTGCCATAAAGCAAGCCTGTGACGTACTGGACGTACTCTGTTGAAGAAAGTTCCAGTCTTTACTGCTGCCCATAACATCTGAATTAGCTATCAACATTCATGATGGTATATATCTTAAAAATCAGACTGCATGAAATAACCAAAATTGGGTGTAATGATATTTTTGGGCTGAATTTTCAGAATAGGGCTGAAATATGTTTGTAAAATGACATTTCCCTCACTGCTGATGTTTGTCGAGGGTAAAGACAACACAGTGCAGATTAAAGAAAAGCTTAGTAAACTCAGATTTGCTTTCTGTGTATCCAGAAAATCTCTTTCCAATGCTAGCCCTCTCCATGCCTTGATGTTTGCTGAATATTGTTGCTGAAAGGGAACAACAGAATGTTGATAAATAGTGAATTTCTAATGCTGCCTGATGATGTTCAGCACATCATTCAGTTTGGCTGCTGTGCTCCAACATTTAACAGGTTCAATTCTGCATTGAACATTACATATATACATTTGTCCAAATGCCAGAGGTATGTATATAATGTAACCACTACCATTGTAAAAGAAGAGTAATACGGCCATGAATCAATTATTTTTGTCCTACAGGGTGCACAGTGAATCATATATAACTGCATCTCTCAATTGTAGCTTTGTCATATAAATTGGAATACTTTGAATTTGAATATATTTATTTATTAATTGAGTATCTAATGCCCACCATATGTAGGCTTGAAAGATGGGTCTGTACAGTAAGTTTGTAACTTGTTTCTTTGTGTTCTTTGTGTTACAGTGGATTTTAGAGCAAAAAAATCGAATTCAAAACATCCATAAAAACTTCTGAAATTACTCCTGCAGCATAATCCCCCCCCATCATTGGTCTATTTGTTCAGTATGTTATAAAAAATTGTTTCTTTGTGCAAAAACTCTCTATAACTGCTAGTGAGCGGATCCTGCAGCAGGAATGGTTTCAACAGTTTCCATGGTCGTTTTGATGCTTTTTTTCACCATTAAATTTGATCACATTATAATTCAAGCTGACTATGCAAAGGGATGTGTTACAGACTTTCATAGCCATCTTTCAAGACTGCATGGGGTCAGTAGGCTGTGTGAAGATTTTTGAGTATTCATAATTCCCTTGAACAGGACACCTTACTAAAAGCATTATGTAACAATGGACCTGGAAGTGCTCTACCTGAGCAGATATATAATGAACTAAAAATGTCATCTGAGTCATCAGTGTGCAGACCTGCCCACGCTGTTATGCCCAAACTCATATACTGTGTTACAAATTTCTGAGCGCTATCTGTAGTGTTTTCCTGTAACATCACTCCTCTCAGCAGCAGCAGCAGCAGCAGCTCCTGTACCCAGGTGTCCATTAACAGCTCATAAAAACCTGGTCAACATGTTGTGTTAATGGGCTCCGAGCCGCCAGGGCTGGCCATCTGGTGTGTGTGTTTCTGTTTGTGTTGGGTCATAACTCAGGGTGACTGGAGATGTTGTCAGCACCACTCCATTATCAGTAACATACAAACAGTGAGGCTCAGTACAGGTTCCTAATGCAGCGCTGAGGGATTTATTCACCGGGAGCTGGAAGTTAATTCTTTTTATACAATCATATCCGTTACATAAGCACAAAGGAGAAACTACAGTGGCTGCGAAACTAATGAAAAACGAAAAGGCCCTATCTAGAGCCAGTGTTTGTTTTGTCTGTTATGGGCTACTGTAGAAACATGGCAACTCAAAATGGCAGCCTCCATGGAAGAGGAGCAGCCCCAAGTAGATAAAAGCAGCTTATGTTAATGCATTTAAAACACAATTCTTATTTTCAGGTGATAATATACTTGTGAAAACATGAACATTATATTCAATTTCTGTCAATAGATCGTCATAAATGTTACACACTGGATCAATAACTAATTACTAACTAATATGTTTTTTCACTCTAATTATATTACTAAAATTTTACCAAAATGCAAAGCTGAAAAGTTGCATTGTGCAACATTTTAGGTGCTAGTTCATCGAAACTGGTTTGTAGCTCACAAGCTCACTTGTTCATGTTTAGCAAGCAGCAGATTCTCTGTAAGGACAAGCTGTTGTTTTACTGTTCTGTTCTACACCTGTTAGCCTGCACCACCTGGAGAGTAGTAAAATATAGCAGCAACAGTTTAGAACTGCAGATGTATGACATTTTCACCACCTACAGGCAAAGAAATTGTTACGGCTGCAGGTTTTTCTTTTCCCATCATCTTTTTGTCTGTTTCTCAATTTACATGTTTTACATTATCTCTTAGCTAAAATGTAACAGATTTTGTAGCTTAAAATGTAAAATATTAAACCTCATTGAGGCTATTTAAACACTGAACTGAGGCTATTAAAAAATAAAACTGTATAGTTGATTGCTTGCAAGTGGTGTTTGCAAGTGTTCAAACTGCTGGAGCAAGGAGAAGTTTTAATTTAAGGAGCAGCCTCTTACAGTCTTGTCCATCTCACACAGCTCATACTCACTGCGGCTGGAAGGCCTAATGATGCAGGATGTATTGATTCTTCATTGATTAGGCACAGGTGGTGAACAACATCCCTGCGGCTTTCAAGACTTAAAATGTGGATATAATTAGCAGAGATGGTCTTTGTTTGAAGCTGTATATGAGACTGGGCCTGTAAGCTCTCAGCCTCTTTCTCAGAGGATAGAACAGATTGTTGGTGAATTAAATCTGGCTTGCACTTTCATTGCTGACTGGTGCGCTAAGCATTTGTGGTGTTGAACAATCACTCTTGGACTTTAACTGGACTGGGCCACATGATTGTTACACAGAACCATCTGGAAACTCTTTGTTGGAAATAGAAAATACTCTGCAAGTGGATGAACCATCTGTCTATCACTGTCTATCATGAGTGAACTCTTAAACGCTCCATTTCTGATATAACTGATGCTAGCCACTGGTACCACTGTAATGCATAGATTGAAGCCTGGCAAGATGGATTCTAGCCAAATATTTACAAAACCATCTAAAATTAAAAGTATACTTGCATTTCACTTCTCATCAGAATGAAATATTCCAATTTACAGTCATTGTTATGAGTAAACCTTGACCTCAGTGAACCAGTGTTAGTGGTTCAGCAGAAAGCTCTGCGTGAGAATAGAGTAGGCTGTAGAGTAGAGTAAAGCTTTAATGTCCCTGAGGGGAAATTTGGCTTGCAGACAACAGTCAATAGTAAATACAACAATTAATAAAAATGGCAATCCATACAGTATATACATACCTGTACAAATAAGCACACAGGTTGACACCAATGTCATTGTTGTCACTTGTCACTAACTGTGAAATGGGCTGCTATGGCTGCCATGTAACATTAATCCTTGGGGACAAATGCGCCACTAGAACTTCCACTAAAGGTTTAGTTTTTTGCCACTGACATGAAGGACAGAAACAAATACTCACTAAAGCGGTCATTGTTATTCTTTCCACTGTTCGGTCAAAATATATCTTGAATTTACTGACGTAGATGATAAAAACAGCCGTTTCAGTCACCGGCTGTAGATGGAAGGACTCACATGCACTAACATGCACACACAGCCAGACCGGCTTTGTAAACAAAGCAGAGAAAGGCTGCGATAGCAACACAGGCAAAGGGAGTGTGATGTCATTCTCTACTCAGGAGGCCATGACTCCACGTGGCTAATAGCTGTTTGCTTCTATATTAATGTTTTAAATCTCCTTATCCACCTATAACCTGTGTGTTGCTCAGCTCCTGACTGACTGCTGTTTTACCTTCTACTCTGTGACCTTCTAATCTTGCTGGAAGATTTTTAACACACTGACAATACATCCCCATGCCCCCTCTCTCTCATTGGTCTGGTCACCATGGTAATCTCTGACGCCATGGAAACCTCCAATAAATCTCCCTGATAGTTCAGTGTCTGGCTGCAATGCTTTCTTGGGACTGTGAGTCATGACCTCTCTGTTTGTTTCTCTTTGTGACTCAGACAAAAGATCACACACTGACTGTGTGTGTGTGTGTGTGTGTGTGTGTGTGTGTGTGTGTGTGTGTGTGTGTGTGTGTGTGTGTGTGTGTGTGTGTGTGTGTGTGTGTGTGTGTGTGTGTGTGTGTGTGTGTGTGTGTGTGTGTGTGGGGGGGGGGGGGGGGGGGGGGGGGGGGGGGGGGGGGGGGTGTGTGTTTTTAGGTGTGTGTCGAGACCTACGTGTCCAGCTGCCACCAGCGCAGCATTAACACAGCGGTCAGAGCCACGCTGAGCCAGATACTGGGAGACCTGACGCTACAGCTGCGACACAGACAAGAGGTCACACTCTCATGCAAAACACACAGTACAGCAGTAACATACATGCACACACACACACACACACAAACATATACAGTAATGAATAGTTGAGAAATGAATTAGACAATCAACAGACATTCTCTTTTCCAGCTCCTCAAATTTAAGGATTTGTTGCTTATGTCTGTTTTATATTGATGTTAATTGTCCCCCAAAAAAACAAAAGGTCTGCATGAAATGAGTCAAACAATTTGAAGATGTCTCTTTGTGGTCTGTTAAATTGTCTTGGGCATATTTCATAATCCTTGCGTATAGATTTTTTTTTCATAAAGATAGAAAAAAAACTGGCACATATTAACACTCTTTGTCACACACACTATCAGAGTTGTATTGCTGCAAAACCTTAAAAAAAGACACACTCACAGTAACCACACCTCCTGCTGTGTTCTCCTCCGCAGGGTGCAGATGGAGACGAGGTGACTGCACTGCCACTGCACAGAAGAGGTACATCATTATTTGTCATTACTCTCTTCATCAACTCTAGTGCAGTAATCACCTCTATTATATAATCATGCATGTGATCATACTGTAAACGGGTGTGAATGCTGAAAGCACGTCAAAATATCCTGCTTAATTAGGAGAGAGGGGCTTCAATTCCGATTTTTTGAAATCCTTCATACTTTCTGGAGAATTTCGGGTTTTATGTCAATTTGTTTCCCCTTTCATCCTAATGGGAAAATGCTCAGAATTTATTTTTCATGAATTTTCAACTCTTCATTTTTCATTAATACTTTCAGCTACAAACTCAATTTCAAACTCACAAACATCAAACATTTTAGGTATCATTCAACTTTAAAATCCCATTAAACCTTTTAAAATAATAAACGTTTTTTAAAACAGATGGAACAATGGAATCCAATTCCATTCTATCACCATGGCATCCTTTAATTGCAGTTGGGAGCAGACAGCTGATTGAGATGACCTAATTAACAGAGATTGACAGACATGCACAGACAGACAGTCAGGCAGACAGACAGGCAGAACGATAGACAGAGACAGACTTAGCTCACTAGGTAGAGCTGTGGTCATGTAGTCAGAAGGTTCATGGTTTAAACCCTGACTCCCCAGCTGATGGTTAGCTAATCAAGGCTAGGTAATTAACTAGATAAAGGAGTAAGTGGCAGGGTAATTGAGTAAAGGGCTAAGTAATGGAGTAAATGGCTGATGGTTCAAACCCCAACTCCTCCAGCAAATGGCTAGGTTACTGAGACAAGTAATCGGGTAATACAGTATGCTTACTGGAATTTTGATCTCTGGTAAAGTTGAGATAATTCTAAGATGGCTACCATAAGAGGATAAACCCCTTTGACTTAGATAACATGATCTCTGCAGTTTTATTCTTTCCAGAATGTGTTGTTTTCTCAACTGCTGTGAAGTGAGAAGTAAAGCTTCATGAAGCCACTAGTGTCTGAGGACTTTTAATCTTCTTTAGTGTGCAGTATAAACTGGTTTATAGCTGGTATAAAGCCACTGTAATCACCTATCTGCAGGTAGTAAGAAACACCTTCACAGAGAGACTGACAGGACTTCTTTATGATACTGTACAGTCCACACACACACACACACACACACACACACACACACACACACACACACACACACACACACACACACACACACACAGTTTAGATGGATGTCTCTACAGATCCGAACAGGTCCACAGAGAATCTATTGATGTATTTTATTTATGACTAAGAAACAGGGAGGTGAGAGAGAGAAGTTTCTAATCACTTCATGTACATATTGAATAAAGATAAAGTATGTGCTGTGATCTAACCTTGTTAATGTGTGTGTGTGTGTGTGTGTGTGTGTGTGTGTGTGTGTGTGTGTGTGTGTGTGTGTGTGTGTGTGTGTGTGTGTGTGTGTGTGTGTGTGTGTGTGTGTGTGTGTGTGCAGATATTTCTCCGACAAGCCAGGCTCTGTGTGAAGATGTGGTGACTGTTCTGACAGTTTTCTGTGAAAAGCTGGAGTCAGTGGACAGGTAACGCTGCAGTTTTTCATTATTTGATGTAATATTCTTTCCTTTAGCCACAGCCCTCTAGTTACTCTGCCACAATCCTGTCAATAATGGGTGTGAAAACCAAGCAAAAACAGGGTTTAAAGGGTTCAAGAGCAGCTACTTTCACCTGTTAAATAGAGCAAAACATGATTAAATGTCATTGGCACAGACTCCTGATAAGAGTGGACAGAGGCCAGTTGACTTCTGACCTCTGTATAACGTTGTGTCTTTTCACCTTCCAGTGGTAACCAGCTCCTGCAGCTCCTCTATCTGGAGTGCATTCTCTCCATGCTCAGCAGCTGTCCACCCACAATGCACCTGTCCAGAGGTTTTACTGACCTTGTATGGTAAGATGATTAATACTATAATCCTGCACGTTTGCCACCAAACAGCCGTTTTGATTTGGCACATCAGTGGCTGAGAGGTTGCCAAGAAAAACATGATTAATAAAAAATGATTTATTCTGTTCATTCTGCCTTAGGTACTGATGTGCATCTATACCAAACCATTTAATACCTTAGAACAAAAGCATAAATTAAAGACTCTCGGACAAAAAAATGTTGTTGATGTTTTTTAGGAGCTCTTTGTCCAGTTAATAATTTGTGATGTCAGTTTCATGGTTTCCTTTTCAAAATCTCTCAACTCACCTTATTGTAATTTATGGTATTCTAATGTATTCATAATCCTACAAACAATATTGATATTCCTTCTACCAGGAAGCAGTTGTGTCCATCCCTCGTGGCAATCATGGGAAATCCTGTCAACGATAAAACAATCACTTCCCACCATGGCTACATGGGGGCGCCAGACCGAGATCGACTCTCAGACAGGCTCAGTCTAGGTAAATGGATTTACCAGAGAAACCGCTGGTCATCACAATTTATTTACATTTGTACAAAGCACGTGAGGGCTTGTTTGAGTCTTTTGGAGTGAAAATGAGGAGTCCAAACTCCAGACATCAAGAAATGAACAACTTTTGAAAGTTTGCTCGTTGTAATTTATTTGGCTGTGACAGAAACTTGTCAAGTAGGCCACTGTTCTCCATCTGCCAAAGGTATGAAACTGTTCCCCACATCCCATATTTTTATCATTATATCAGTGTGCTGTTGCGGCACTGATTGGCCAATTTGTCATCCTCCTAGAGCTCGAGATAACATATAACTAGACGCAGTTAGATCATGTCGACATTATTATAGTTGCTATGGAACAAGCCTATTTATCTAATTAGAGATTCAATCATTAAATGGGTCCATTATGTAAAAACTTTTTTTTGTCTTGAAACATCCCAGTGCTTGGACGCAGAGACCATATTTATTATTTATCTTCCTGCTAGCAGTCACTTTGATGGTGTCTCCTTCAAAATAGACATTAAAGATAATTATGCGTAGCTGAAGATGAATTTACATTCTGACTCAGGCCTATTTCTGGTATTCTTTCTTTTTATCAACATGCTTTTAATGGTTGAGTCTCCTTCCTTTCCTCTGTCAGGAATCAGCCAGGAGGTGGATTCCTCCAGTGGAGGGGTATCCGATCAAGGCAGAGGGTCCGGCTGTTCCTCCAGCGCCCCCGCCAGGATCGCACCAGTAGTGCGGACTGTGTGTTACATTGCTGCGGAGCTTGTGCGTCTGGTCAGCTGCGTGGAGTCAATGAAACCGGTGCTGCAGTCACTCTACCACAGGATCCTGCTGTACCCGCCCCCTCAGCACCGCACTGAGGCCATCCGAATCATGAAGGAGGTGGGGGGAGACATTATTGCTGACCTTTTCCAACAGCATATTGTAACTTTTCAGATTGATTTTGAAACATCATGCCGCCAATGATTTCCTTTCCTCTTTATTGAATTACGTGTAAGTAATTCATCATAGTTGATCTTTAGTCAGCCATGTTGTTATCTGTACACAAAAAAAGATTCAGTCAGGTGATAACCATGTGTGACATTTGACATTACATGATGACTAAATATGTTTCTGGAAATGATATATCAAATGAATTTGGAGTGCATGAAGTGATCTGTTTCTCTGTGTGTGTGTGTGGGCTAGATTCTAGGTAGTCCCCAGCGGCTGTACGACCTCGCCGGTCCATGCGTGGCTGAGCCTGAAACCAGGAAGCGCTCCTTCTCAAAGAGGAAGTCTCACCTGGACCTGCTTAAACTGTTAGTTTGACTTCTCTCACTTTGATCTTTGTTTGAGTTGTTAGAATATGCTGTTAATGCTATCACATGTTTTTCTCAAATAAGACACAATACTTGTTCCCTCATAATTAATTTAGTGATCTGACAATAAAGAGCACAGATCATGATCCAAGTGTTTCACCAAGTAATTCAGTAACGAACCAAAATATTTTTTTTTCTAAGAGCAGGCAAAGCAGTTAAGATATAATGTATGTTTGTATGTTTCTCGCTTCTTCTGGAAGAGTGATGGACGGGATGACAGAGGCCTGTATGAAGGGAGGCATCGAGGCGTGTTACTCTTCTGTCTCCTGTGCCTGCGCTCTCCTCGGGGCGCTGGATGAGATGTCGCAAGGCCGCGGCATCCAGCCAGAGCAGGTACGCTCCTGAAACAGGATGCGATGGAGGGGTCAGATGTAACGTGGTCGAAATCTGTGTAGTGCCCCTTTATTCACTGAAAGCATGATTTTACTATAAAACAGTAACATAGCTGCTGTTTCTCAGGCTCTGCTTCTCCTCAGACGACTGGACGACCTGAAAGATGGTACAGAATCAACACGTGAGTCCATGGAGATCAACGAGGCCGACTTCAGGTGGCAGAGACACATCCTGTCCTCTGAGCAGGCTCCCTATGACCCCTGCTCGTCTTCCTCCAACATGGCCACCACCGGGGCCACCGAGCGCAGCCCTGACATTAGCATTAGCATCACGACTGAAACGGGACAAACCACCCTGGATCTGGAGGTGGGGGAGGTGGGCCTAGGTCACACCACACCTGAGGAGTGTGGGGAGGACGCACGCCTCCCCTCACCCTCATCCTGTGGCGGCCAGGAGGGGACCAAACAGGAGCCGAGCCTTGAGCCGGGCCAGGGAATCCAACCGGAGGAGGGAGGAGGTCCAGTGGAGGTCGAGGGAAGAGGAGAGAAACAAAGAGCGGCAGGGGGTGGTGGAGGAGTAGGGGGGGGAGAGAGAGGAGGTGTGGTACCTCCAGATGTGGTGCAGCGAAGTCATGCCCTGGTCTACCCCGACATCACCAACTTCCTGTCTGTGGAGTCCAGGACCAGGTCGCACCATGGAGCAGGGTCGCGATACAGCGAGAGCAACTTCAGGTACTTCAGGTTTGTGTGCGTATGTATACGGGCAAAGCTTGAAACTGTCTCATGAAGAAGAAGTGCTTCATCAACCTCTTTTGAATTAGATTTTAGAACATTATAGTTTGTCAGTTCAGTTCACGTAACTGAGGAGAACTTTGAAATAAGATTTCAAAGATAACGTAAGAATGACCTTTCTCAGGCAGGTTCAAATGTGACACCAACTCAACCCAATGGCTGCCTGTAATTTCTTACAGTATGCTTTGAAAATGGTCAACAGCATGATGATGATATAATTATATATTGTATATCTGTTGGTCCATCAGCATGGAAGAGCAGGACCTGTCGAGGACAGAGTTTGACTCATGTGACCAGTATTCCATGGCTGCTGAGAAAGACTCTGGGCGCTCCGACGTGTCTGACATCGGCTCTGACAACGTCTCACTGGCTGACGAGGAGCAGCAGACCCCTCGCGACTGCCCGGGCCATCGCTCCCTGCGCACCGCCGCCCTGTCCCTCAAATTTCTCCGCAACCAGGAGGCCGACCAGCAGAGTGCCAGGCTGTTCGTCCAGTCGCTCGCAGCACTGCTTCCCCGACTGCTGGGGTTGGCCACCACCACAGACGTGGACCTGTCGCTACAGAACTTCTCCTCAACCTTCTGCTCCGGACTGCAGGCTGGTGAGGGAGTGCTTAGGGTTGCTTCTTCATTGTGTTGATGTGACGTGTTTGAAAATTGGGAAGAGCATGTGATTGTGTGTGTGTGTGTGTGTGTGTGTGTGTGTGTGTGTGTGTGTGTGTGTGTGTGTGTGTGTGTGTGTGTGTGTGTGTGTGTGTGTGTGTGTGTGTGTGTGTGTGTGTGTTAGCTAAACAAACACAGGTATTTGCTGAGGGTGGAGTGATCTGTGAGCCAGCCTCTTCCTTTTATTAATCAGCTCTGTTCACAGTAAACGTCTCTACTGTCCAAAATGAGATATAAGTAAAGTAAATACATCATACTGTTGGGACACTCTGGGATATAGGGTAAGTAAAGTGAGCAATAAAATAGAGTAGATAAAAAAATTTTAATAAGTGATCCACGAAACAACGCTTAATCCTTCGGGGCAATTGTGCATTGTCAAGATATGTCCACTAAAAGTGCTTGTTTTTGCCACAGAGGCTCAGATGGTTATGCTAAGTGTTTTATTATTGAACAGACCCCTACAGAGATAGACCTTTTGTTGAACCAGAAACAGCCATTATGTTGTTCTGTTCGAAGCCGAATTGTTTGTGTTGTTGTGTGACTTTGGTGTTTTAAAGCATTAATTCAAGCTCACCAACACAGAAACATGGAGGCAAAGGGTCCAGGTTGAAAATACTGAAGTTTCCCTTTTAAGAAATTGCCAATTGAACCGTAGTCTGAATGTACATACTAATGTGTAAACCGTATATTCTCTTCATCACTTTAGAACAGGAACCATTTAGTACAATGTTTTGCCTTCGCGGCACAACCCTTAATCCATCAGTAAAAACACTGAGCCTGCTGGGAGTTTTTTTTCAGCAGAGCAAATTAGGAATGAAATGAAACTCTACGGTTAACTGACTTAATGAATTTGGTGGAGGCTGTAAATCCCCAGAGTCAGTTTCTGATTATAACACTTGACTTATCATCAGCTAACAGATTGTATCTCACTGTCTCCTCTCACCTTCACACTCATTTCCTCTGTCCTCTCTTTGTCTCACCCCACTCTCTTTTTACTAACTTTCTACTCTTTCTGCCTCTCTTTTCCTTTCTTTCTCTTTAAAATAGCTTAACATAGCTCCCTCCTCCTCTTCCTCTACACCTTTGCTCACACCCACTCCCCCTTGGGTCCGAATCATTTTCCTCCTTCATTCCTCCCCCTCATTCGGCCGTCCATATATCTGTCTCCCTCTCTCTCTTTCTGTCTGTTTTCTCTCCTCTCTCTTTCCCTCCCTACTCTCTGTCCCTCTCCTCCTCTTTTCTTTCACTCTCCCTCCCTTACGCACCAGTTTTCTCTCTTTCACCACCGCTTTGTTCTTCTCTCGACCCTCTTTATTTCCTTCTCTCCCTCCATTCACCTCCCTGCGTCTCTCTCGTTCTCAGATCTAATAAGCTTTAATGCCATGAGCGATGGTGTTTGTTATTACCAAAGTTTTGTCTCTCTCTTTTTCCTACTTCTTTTATTATTCCCTCTTCCTCCCTCCCTCTCTTTCTTTCTTTCTTTCTTTCTTTCTTTCTTTCTTTCTTTCTTTCTTTCTTTCTTTCTTTCTTTCTTTCTTGTTATTGAAGACAAGAAGGAACCATATTAAGCTGACTAACATGCTAATGCTTTTAGGGGGGTGTGGTGCATTGAAGTATTGTGGACAACAGTACTGGTGCTTCATTCTTTATGTCCTTTCTGTTGTGTGGTGGGTTTCTTTTTGCTGAGGTATCTCTTTTCATTGTTTAATTAAATAAATGTGTGTAATGAGCACTGGCAATAAAGGGGAGTTTTAACTTGAGCTCTCTTCAGGTGGGATCCACTCTCCAGGTTTCGAGACAGGTGACACTCTGAGCTGTCAGTCTCTGATGAACGCAGATGGTCTCTACCTGGTGTCGTACTACGCTCTGCTGCTCAACCTCAAACTTTGCTGCTGCGACTACTACAGACGGCGAACCCTCGCACCCATCCTCAGCCTGGTGAGCAGAGCGCTAGTTACTCCCACAGTTTGCAAAACACACACACACACACACACACACACACACACACTAAACTATGACAGGGTTTATAATGGAGTATTGGCAGTAGAAGTGAAAAAAAAGTGTACTCGACAAGATGAAAAGAAATGACATGGAATAGTAGATTGGAAGTCTGACCAGCCTTCTTCTGGAGTGGAGCAAAATCAGAAAAAATATTGGAAATAAAACGGAAGTATAGAATTAGATGTGATGTATTTGACTAGATGGAATAGATTTTGATGTGTGGTGTGTGTGTTTTGCAGAAGGAGTTTGTGCGTCTGATCCAGAGCAGTGGAGTCCTTGTGGTTCTGTCTCAGGCCTGGATCGAGGAGCTCTACCACCAGGTGTTAGAGCGCAACCTGCTGGCTGAGGCTGGGTACTGGGGCTCACCGGAAGATCACATACTGCCGCTCATCACCATGCTGACAGGTACACACACACAATCACCTGAAAAATATAGCCCTTTCCGTGTGGGGTAAATTTACTCATATCAGGAACTGACTAACTGATTTGAGCCAAGTTCTTAAAACTCTTCAAAGAAAAGCTCTAGGAATAATTTCTACTTAAGTCTCTGTCACTTTTACCTTGAATAGCATTAAAGAATGACAAAAAATATTTGAAAATCTTTCGAATCCTTGTGTGTTTTTTTTATAGCTACACTAAATTACCAGTATTTACACAGACTAATGTCAGTGTTGGTCAGCAAACTCCGGAAATGGCAGATTCCCAGCTGATTGAGATCACAGACATCCTCTGTAATGATCACAACAATTGACGACTTCTTCTTATCGTCTCATTCTTTCCCCTCTGTCCTCCCCTCCCCTCCCCTCCTCCTCTCTCAGATATAGACGGTCTGGGCAGCAGTGCGATTGGAGGTCAGCTGATCAGGAGGGCATCGAGCCGATCACCACTCAGCTGTGACAAGGCCGGCAGTGACACTGTGATGGCAGGTCAGTCCCTCATTACTATAAAACTGCCCCAAAGCCTCAGAAATATGATGGATTAATTGATGGATTGGTTCACCCATTTATTCAATGAATTATTTGTTAGTTCCACATCACTATAATAAAATCTGTGACATTTTGTGCCATAATGTGTAGATTTGTTTCTTATTTAGTCGTGAAAAGACTGATACTGAGAAGGGAACGGATATTTAATTCTCTTCAGTCAGCGGTGGTGTTTTATTGCAGGTCAAACCCTCAAAGATTTTTCATGTTTGGAGTTTTTTTGGTTTTTCATCCGAGCCTCTAAATCATCCCAGCTCAACCCTTCAGCGTTCACTCACCTTGAAACTGCTGCTGAACTGCTGCTGTGTTAATAAGTTGAAAATGCTCCACCGGTTGTGGGCAGAAAGGTGAAGCATCTTGGAAAAGTGCTGCATGGTCAAGGGCTCCAACCTTTTTTTTGTAGTGCCTTGAGGACATAGCACTCCCAATAAATAGATGAATGTTATTCATATTATTCTGACTTCAGTCTGATTTGCTGATTCATTGGGTGATTTGAAGTTGTTTAATAGAATGAATAATTAATTCAGCAAACAAGTCATGTTTTTGTTAAAGGTCGAGTCAGTCACATTTAGGAAGATCTATTGGCAAAAAGTGGAATATAATATTTATATGTATATGTATAGGTTTTCATTAATATATAATAACCTGAAAATATGAATTGCTGCTTTTTGTTACTTTAGAATGCTGTTTTGGCTACTTTACGTAACTTCTGATATTTTTCTAAACCTAAGAAAGTTTTTTTTGTGTGCCTAAATCAAACCAGACTGCGACCAATTCTTGAGGGTCCAGAAATTACAGGAGAGGGGTGCCTACAGCGTGATATTTTTAAGTGGAGGGCTACTGACCAAGCAGCAGCATTTGATGAGTTGGGATTGAAAATGTGTTGTGCCAATGAATTCATCATCATAATAAATTAATGAACGAACACATAACAAAACAATGAACGAACACATAACAAAACAATACAAACTTTAAAATTGTTCAGGTCAGGTCAGTGATTATGTCCTGGTGTAACTGAAAAACATGAGGGAAAAGAAAAGGGTTTGGAGGAGGGAGAGAGAGAGAGAGAGAGAGAGAGAGAGAGAGAGAGAGAGAGAGAGAGAGAGAGAGAGAGAGAGAGAGAGAGAGAGAGAGAGAGAGAGAGAGAGAGAGAGAGAGAGAGAGAGAGAGAGAGAGAGTCAGGTACCACCTGAGCTCCTTCTGCATCCCTGTGGAGGACAAAGGATTGGTCAGAATTTCCATGGTAACTGCTGCTGAGTCACCCCTGTTGACAGTAATATTCTTTTTTTGTGTGTATACACAACACTAATGCTCCTGCTTGACTTGTCCACGTCATCGGTTACTGTAGCCAGCTGCTGTGTAGACGCTCAATAACAGACTGTTTTTGCTTTGCTTTGCTGATATAATCGTAATGAATGTCAAGAGCGGAAAAATACAGTGTCTGATCTGTTGCATCCTTTGATACAACATATTGTTGTTTTCTCCCATCAGCTACATTAGCATTCATTTATTTTTTCTGCTCCTTACTCCTTCGTGTTTTTCAGGGGCTGTGTTCTCCCGCTTCATCCTAACCGGCGTGTGGAAGAACCTGATCGATGTGCTGTCCACGCCGCTGACGGGCCGCATGGCGGGCAGCTCCAAGGGCCTGGCCTTCATCCTGGGAGCTGAGGGGGTCAAAGAGCAGAGCCAGAGGGAGAGAGACACCATCTGTCTGAGTTTAGACGGCCTACGCAAAGCTGCTGCTCTCAGCTGCGCCTTGGGTGGGTGAAACATGTCTCGTGTGTCTATATTAATAAGAAACATGAGATGCATTGCTCATCCCTGCAGGAAATCCTCTGTTCTCCTCCCCTTTAACACTGAGAGGCCTTCAGTAGAATCAACCTGCCTTGATACAACATCCCACAGTTATAACGACAGCTTTGTAATAATTGGAATCCAATCAATCAGAATAATTTTTGAATTTGGGCTCTAAAAAGGTACTTTTGGATTATGATAAAGGTCCACCCATGCAGGTGTTATCACTTGTTTTAGCTGATTTGACCTCTAAGACGTGTTTGGGTGTGCCACAGATTGTAGCTGATGACACTTCCTTCACCTTCCTGAAGGTTTTGTTAAGTCAGGGAAGTTTAAAATACAACCTCTTCCCAAAACAACCCTAATCATATGCTCATTATTAAGGAGTTTCACATTCACAGCACCTTGGCACCTTGCACATTCAGCTGTTGAGTTATGTCACATACTGCTTCCTGTAATTGCATAAGATTAGACAGCACATACATTTATATGATATTTTTTCTGCATTATACAGCAGCCATGTTTCCAGATAGTAGTGGATGAGTGAGCAGTTAGCACTGGGGCAAGCCTTTATTGTTCATTTTGAATCCACGCTCACTGGTTTAATAGGACAAACCCTCCACATGAATGCACAGACGCGGGTGGAGTGCAGAGGGCCAGAGAGCCCTGTTGTTATTCTTATGGACATTATACGTTAACGACCACACAGATGAAATGCAGATGCCAGTGCCCTTTGACAGTTTTAAAATGAACTTTGCAGTGTGCAAATATGCGGAACATCAATCAGCTCTATCTTGATCATACTGAAATATTAGGAATAACTAATTGTGAAAAAATAAGATACTGCACTGTATGTAAGTTTTTTTAAGTCATATAGCAGTTTGGGGCTGATACCTTTTGTTACACAGATTTAGTGCAAAGTTTAACCATTTATGAAACCATAGAAAAATGTATGTTGTGATTTGCTATCAATAACTGTAAGAGTTGTGTTTTCATGATGATTGGATGGTGATTACTTCTGCTCTGGAAATTACTCAAAAATCCCTTTCTTTTCAGTATAGTAGGAAAAGAAATACATCATCTGAATGCCCTAGGTCTCTAGTTTATGGTTGTGTTGTTTCATGAGGCTGTCATTATCCTAGAGGTAACAAAATGTAATTTAATACAATGAGGTCAACATTCAAAAAAAGGTCTCTCTACAATCCAATGGCTAGTATGGGGACTAACATCATCACACATGAATCCACATGGTGTCAGCCTTCCAGTCATACCCATTTTATACAGTTCCAATGCTGTTAGGCATCCCAGTATGGAAAAATATTCAAATACACTTCTGTTGCCCCAAACTGCATGGGATTAGCATAAAGTGGGCATGTCTGTAAAGGGGAGACTCATGGGTACCCACAGAACCCATATTTCATTATATTCACTTTAAAATTGAGCCTGCAGCGTCTGAAGCACAGTAATGTTGGCCGAGGACGTATTAGTGCCTGAGGAGTTCAAATTTAACAAGTGACAGCTGCTCAGTAACAACCTGAACACACAGCAGCTCCACTGGAGGTTAACAGAGAGGTTCAGGTTTTCACACAAACTGCAGATGTTAGAGAGAATACCAGAGGAAATACATTGTTATTACCAGCCTCTTTTATCAATCTAAATGTATCAGTTATTAACAGTTACTGCCACAACCGCACAGCCAAAGAGGGACGAAACCTAATTATCAGCACAGAAGCACTGATAAATTTGAATGGACACATGGTGTACAGCCTCAACTGTGGAGAGAGCACAGTATGTGAGGAGGGATGGTACAGTTTTTCACTGCCAGTTTAGATTTGAATACACCCAAAGGAGTAGAAAACCCAGACATACTGTATTCCATCCATCTGTGAAATGTCCTATCAGTAATGATGTTTTTAGGATGGGATAATGAATGAAACTCAGTAGCCCGTCTTTACACTCTGTGTGTGTGTGTGTGTGTGTGTGTGTGTGTGTGTGTGTGTGTGTGTGTGTGTCGTCAGGTGTGGCTGCCAACTGTGCCTCAGCTTTAGCACAGATGGCTGCAGCCTCCTGTGTGCAGGAGGAGAAGGAGGAGAAGGAGGTGGGAGACACAGGAGACGCCATCACACAAGGTACTGAGAGCACATAGTATTTTTGTATTATCTCTATACAAATGAAACCTTTTATGGCACCTGGGCGATAAAGATGGGGAGATAATGTTACAAGATCAGTTAGAAAGATGTATACACACACGAAGTAAACACTTGAGGTAGCAGTATTGGCTTTGCACAAATAAGACCTGGATGCTTTTTTCCTTATTTTATAGCCAAGTAAAAAATAGTCTGATGTGTTTTTTTTCCCACAAGAAAGTATAATTTCCACTTTAACATCCTTAAAAAGGCATCTACTTCTTAAATCGCATTAGAAATTCCAGAATCTATATAAGTAAGCTAATTTTGTTCATTTCTAAAGTTTTCCTGCTAGATACAAGATGTCTCCTACTTCACTGTAAAGTCCATTCTCAGTGGATGTGCACTGGTGGCTTCAAGTTTCTACATCACACGATCACAAATCATGCTCGTAGGCCCCGCCTCTAAAATCTGATTTTTTTTTCATTGAGCACAGAGAAACTTTCCACTTAACTTTCCAAAACTAGTTAGCAAACTAGCAGAGGAGATGAAACAGGTTGCTTAAAGTAATGGATAATGGTTGGAAGGCCAGCTTTTGCCACTTCATATGGTTGCAGAGAGTTCAACTGTATGAAAATATTGTAACATCCACTATTATCACCACTTATATATAACTTATATAATCAATTTTTAAATAACATCCAGTTCAAAATTAATTCAAATTCAATTTTGGACATAAGTGTTGGTTTTGATGAAGGGGTAATGAGTTTATCGGACTGGACTGTGGGGATACATCTTACAAAAAAGTTGGGAACCAACTGCTGTTTGTTGTGGGCAGCATTACAAATTGAAAGTTTGTGACTGTGTTGCTCCAAGTTTGTAAATGTTGAATATTTTGTTCTAATTGACCATTCGACATCCGCTGTCCTCTGACTGTGTTTCACTGTGTGTGTGTGTGTGTGTGTGTGTGTGTGTGTGTGTGTGTGTGTGTGTGTGTGTGTGTGTGTGTGTGTGTGTGTGTGTGTGTGTGTGTGTGTGTCCAGTGAAGCAACGTGTTGAGCAGCGGCTGGAGCAGATCGGTCGTCCTCAGGGAGTCCGCCTCCACACGGCTCATGTGTTGTGTATGGACGCCATCCTCAATGTAGGACTGGAGATGGGTAGCCACAACCACGACTGCTGGCCGCATGTTTTCAGGTACACACATGCACACAGACACACTATACAATATACTTAAACAAATTTCCCCCCGGGGTCAATAAAGTATATGTATTGTATATGTTTTGGGCAATCATTTTTGCCATTACTTTCTTTTCTTTTCTTTTATTTCCTGATCTGAATTAAAAGGTTATATTTAACTGAATTTCTAAATACCCAAGAGATGATTGAAGGGAGTAGAATTTATAGCAGCAACATTGCCTCTGAAAAGAAACAGAACAAGGACAAACAAATTAGAGTTTTAGGGCCTCGCAATATCTTTTGGGACATTTGGAACATTTTTGTTTAATTTCAAACTTGTTAGTGTGGGAAAAAAAAAAGTTGCTTTTAGTTCTTCAGTAGGTGTAATTCTGGAGATACAGTGCTAATACAGTATATTTACACTGACATTTTTTTCACCTCTTTTTACCTCCCTATTTTCCCTCTCTTTCTCCCCCCCATTCCTGGTCTCCTGCCCCTCCTTTTCTCCTTTTCTCTCTCTCTCTCTCTCTCTCTCTCAGGGTGACTGAGTACATCAGTTCACTGGAGCACACCCACTTCAGTGATGGCTCCTCGCAGCCGTCCTCTTTGACTACCATCACCCAGCAGAGCCAGCAGGCAGCGGGTGTGGACTTGGGGCTGGAGCTGAGCTGCGATCCCAGCCCAGAGGCCTCTGAGCTGGGCTTGAGCCAGCCGGTCATCCAGCCTCTGTCCATCCAGGAGCTGCTGAGGGAGAGTAGCCGAGGGGGCAGAGGTCTGGACCTGAAGAGCGGCAGCCTGATGACTGGGACCAGTGCAGCCAAGGCTGTGTGTACACTGTCAACACAGGCAGACAGGTAGGGCATAAATATCATAACATCATAACATCATATATTTATCTCTATAATCATACATGAACGATCATTTATTTTAGCAGTGGTTCACAAAATACATATCTTTTAGCACCATTATAGATCTCCTCTTATCAAAGAGTATATTGCATTGTTGACAAAATATACTTCTGTTTTTGTGAAATATAAAGAAATATTTAATGTTTTTTGTACTTTTTTTTTTAGTTTGGCAAAAAAAAATATGTATTAGTATTTCAGTAATTATGTGAAATGTTAATGACTAGTGCTAAAACAATTGGATTCTTTAGAAAACAAACATTATATTAACATCTATGAATTTGTTTTTTTGGCAGACAATTTATGAAGATTTCTTGTTAACAATTGTCTTTTTAATAAAAGCAGTAATAAAAATGTGTTTCATTATCAGAAACAGATTGATTGAAAAGAGTGCAAAGTAAAGCAACATTCACAAACCACAAACAGTATTTTAGGTCATAGATTTAGGTTATTTTTCTTAGTCATTTAAAGGCCCATTTAGTGGCATCTAGTGGCGAAGTTGCAATTGCAACCAATTGAATACCCCTCGCCATCCAAGCATGTAGGAGAAACTACGGCAGTGTTTGGTTTGTCCATTCTGGGCTACTGTAGAAACATGGCAGTTAAACATGGCGGTCTCCATAGAAGAAGACCCACTCCCTCTGTAGATATAAAAGGCTTATTCGAAATGTTAATATTATTTTTTGTATGAAAACAAAAGTACAAAAGTAAGTGATTTCCAAAAAATTTTTTCTTGTTTAACATACTGAAATGAATGTAAGTTTTAAAAGTAACTTTTATTAAAGGTCCCGTGTGAAACATTTAGGAGAATCTATTGGCAGAAATGGAATATAAAATACATAGGTACAGTGTGTTCACCTGAAAATAAGAATCATTAGGTTACCTTAGAACGAGCTGTTTTTTATGTACAGTGGGTCCTCTTCTGCAGAGTCCATCATGTGCCACCATCATGTTTCTACATTTGCCCAGAATGGACAAAACAAACACTGGCTTAAGATAGGGCCTTTTGTGTTTTTTGCAAGTTTTGTGTCACCATAGTTTTTCCTTTAAGTTTAAACAATATGCAACAACAATACATGGAGAACGAATAGCATCGTAGCAACAGGAATATTTCCCCCCCAACCAGTCTGCCTCAATGCATCGTAGACAAAGATCAGAGGAAAAAACATGAATAATAATAATAAGAGTATATCAAAATATGGTGCCTGTAGACTGTAAAATATGTCAGCTTCCTGCTCCCTCAGTTCAGCCCAATAAAATGTCTGTTGCTTCTTCATCACCTTGTTAAACCAGCAGCGAGCATGACAGTGACTCTTAATGAATTTATCTGCCAAAACCCCCATTTCACTAACACATGGTTCTCTGCAGGAGGTGCTGGGTTGTGGAGCACATTTACTTTTTATAATAACCACAGGATGGCAGCAGCAGTACAGAGCTGCCAGAGTGTGTTTGTTTGTGTGCTCTTATACTTCTGTCTTTGTAAGGACTAATTTGGTTTTTAGATCCTAAGGGTGAGGGCATTTTCTTGGGGTGATGAGGGAATTAAAAAAATGAGGACAGTTTGAATGGTCATCACTTCTTCACAGGGTTGTTTGAGGTTTTCGACTAGGTTTTAGGACTAAATTTAGAATTAGATCTTGGTTAAGGTTAGAGTCCTTACAAGTGTTGAAATACAAATGTGTGTGTATAAGTGCGCGCTAACAGTTTTGCACTCTTTAAAGTGTATTCCTTGGCACAACCAACACACACACACACACACACACACACACACACACACTGCTGCAGTAAATATGGAGTGTGTGTTCATTCCAAGGATCATCTCTTATGTAACCAGTTATCTAGGCTGCTTTTAGGAGCAAATAAAAAACTGTTCCCTCTGATCTTTTGGAACAGATGGACTGAACACATTTACAAGCAGAAAGTGGTGCCAAAACATAGTAAATACTCCTGTGCACAGGGCTGTCCCAAAAACTTAAAGGGAACAACACAGCTGCATTGCTGCCTTAAAATGTTCCTCCTCTGCAGTTGTATAACCTTTTACAGCAGCCATTTAAAATCTGTGATCTTTTGATGACTTTATACATGTATCTATATGAAAAACTGTCTGTGTGTGTGTGTGTGTGTGTGTGTGTGTGTGTGTGTGTGTGTGTGTGTGTGTGTGTGTGTGTGTGTGTGTGTGTGTGTGTGTGTGTGTGTGTGTGTGTTCCAGGTTGTTTGAAGAAGCAGCTACCAAACTGAACCTGGTTGGTCTGGTCGGCTTCTTGCAGCAGCTCAGGAAAGCTTCTCAGTCTCAGCTTTTCAACTCTGTCACTGAGACTGGAGACTACTCACTGGCAATGCCAGGTACACACTCACACAAACACACACACACACACACACCCCTTTACGTGTATTGCTTCAGTGAATACATTCATTTCTACCTCCTAACTGTAACCTCAACCATCACCAGTAACCTTCAAGTCTCAAAGCATCTGGCTCTCAAAACCTGATGATTCCTCTTAAAATTAAACAAGTGATCAGTGATGGTTCTGTTATTTGAAGAGAATAGTAGGATGAAGAAGGAGTTGAGTATATGACATTATGTGCAAATGGCATGTAAAATTAGCTAATACAATTAATGAATGCTGCACACAAAGTGACCACAATTTTAAGATTAAACATGATTAAACCTAATCTTCAGTTTGTATCTAGAATGAAGTGTAGAAGGTTCTGCTTTCTAATTACAGAGTTAGAAACACAACATTTAGAGTTAGATAAAATAAAGGCATGATTAAATCAGCCTCATCAGTATTTTTGTCCCGTGTGTGTGCGTGTGCCTGTGTGTGCCTGCGTGTGCGTGTGCGTGTGCGTGCGTGTGCGTGTGTGCGTAGGGGAGGCCAAGTCAACAATGGACCGACGCAGTGCTCTCCATCTCTTCCGTCTGGGCGAGGCCATGCTGCGGATCGTCAGGAACAAGAACCGACCATTGCTCCACATGATGAGGGCCTGGAGCGTGGTGGCCCCGCATCTGGTGGAGGTGGGGAACTGCAGCCTCTTTTTAAAAACTTTTTAAAGACTTCATCAAAAGCTTTGATGTAAAATTAGTTTTTTTTTTTAGTTCAGCAAGTTTTTGCTTGTACAGTCGTTCGCTTGCATACAAGTCAGTTTTTGCTCTTGCTCTTCTCCTTCTCTACCTCTTTCTTCTTTCTATTGAGTTACTCTTAATTTCACACAATCATCATGTACTTATTTTAATATTTAACTCAAGCAGCAGCAGTTGTAGTAAATGAAATACTGTCATAAACTTTATTTGCATTGCACTTATTTTGTGTTAATATTAAAATCAGTCGGCTTTAAATTGTTTGCTTGTTAGCCACGGTTAGCAAGCAACCAGTCTAGCGTGTAGTTGTTGTTGTTATACGTCATCTAGCGCGCGCCGGTAAACATCCCATGCTGCGTTCATGCAGGCTCGGAAATGCCGAAGCCTACAGAACAAACATCGGTTATAAAAACCCGATACCAATAATTCCCGATATTACATTTTTTAGTGACTATCGGCCGATAATATTGGAGGGCCGATATTATCGGGCATCCCTAATAAATAGATGTAAATGAATATCAACTTTGTAAAGAATATAGTTAAAGCAGTTTCTCCTTTTCCCAGGCGGCATGTCACAAAGAGCGCCATGTATCCCAGAAGGCCGTTTCCTTCCTCCATGATGTTCTGACAGAGGTGCTGACGAGCTGGGCGGAGCTTCCACACTTCCACTTTAACGAGGCGCTGTTCAGGCCCTTCGAGCATATTATGCAGCTGGAGCTCTGTGACGAGGACGTACAGGACCAGGTAAAGTCAAATCTATCTTGAAACTCAGGAAAGTTTCACATTCTCTATCAGTACGTCAATCTCAATCATTACATTTAGCACCACACAGTTTAAAGGACACTTCTCTGCTTGCCTCCCTGCAGGTGATAACATCAATAGGTGAGCTGGTGGAGATGTGTTCTCCTCAGATCCTGTCTGGATGGAGGCCTTTGTTCAGTGCTCTGAGGACCGTCCACAGCAGCAAGACCGACACTAAAGACTACCTGGTGGGAGAATACTCCATGGGTACGTCTACTGGACTCTTATCTAAACCAATAAGCGCAAATTTGATCAAGTTTATCATCTGACAGATGTTACTTTAAAGAAAATATCTTTAAAGCAATGACCAACATTTTTCCTCTTTTGTGAACTTGCGACTTTTTCTGCCTCCTCTCATCTTCCGTTCCTCTTCTCCCTCCCCCTTTCCCTTTCTCCCTTCCATCCCTACCTTGCATTCTCTCCCCCAGGGAAGTCCCAGGCACCAGTGTTTGATGTCTTTGAGGCTTTCATCAATACTGACAACATCCAGGTTTTTGCCAACGCTGCCACTGACTACATCATGTGCCTCATGAAGTTCGTCAAAGGCTTAGGTTTGTCTTACTTGCGTAGGCTATTTTTTTAGTTTGAGATATTACTTTTACGAGCCTTTAGGGATTTTACTTCGCCTGCAATCTGCAGTAAGCTGTGTGTTTGATGTAAGACGCTCATGACTGTACAGTTACTTCTTTAATACATAACAGGAGGGGAGGGGATTTATGTGTGTGTAAATGCACTAATGTTCCTCTTCCAAGCTTGTCTAAGGTTTCTGCAAAAAATATCAGATCTCCAGTTTCAGATAAGATTTTACAACTTAACATTCGACAGAACACTATATTATCATATTGCAGCAAATAAGCACATTTTCATTTTTTTATCTACGCTTAATCAGTATTTAAATTTTTACAATTCTCAACATTTTTGATCGTAGACAAAATATAAAAAAATGTAAATTTTCTGTGTGGCTGTATGTTGGTGTGTAGGAGAGGTGGACTTCAAGGAGATTGGAGACTGTGTCCATGTGTCGGGGTACAGCTCCACTGACCTCTGCCTGCCTGCTCTCGATTACCTCCGCAAATGTTCGCAGGTAGGAACCCTCCTTTTCACACCTTTTCACAAGAGCACTGAAACAATCTTTTTCCTTGCTGAACTCCTAAAGGTCCAGTGTGTAACATTTAGGAGGATCTATTGGCAGAAATGTAATGTAACATTCATAGGTATGTTTTCATTAGTGTGGAAATAAGAATTGTTGTGTTTTCGCTACCTTAGAATGAGCTGTTGATATCGACAGAGGCAGTGTGTCCTCTTCTATGGAGGACATGTTTCTACAGTAACCGAGAACAGACAAACAGACTTTTTAGGCCACCGTAGTTGCTCCTTCACGCTTGGAAGGCGAACAGTTTTTAGTTGGTTGCAGTCTGCAACTACACCACTAGATGCCACTAAATCCTACACTCTCGTACTTTAAATTATAAATAAAACGTTCCTGATCATAGATATTACAAGAACACATTTTCAGTCACAATAAGTGACAGAATAACATTTATATAATGCAATGTACAGTACTGTAAAGATTGTCAGTCCACATTCTTGTTGAGATAGCCACAGATAGCAAAAAATAGTTTGCAAGTATTGGTTCCTCTTCTTCCCTGTTCCCTAATGAAGCTGTGTTGAATTTGATTGACAGCTGCTGGCAAAGATCTACAAGATGCCCTCCAAGCCGGTGTTCTTGGGAGTTCGGCTCGCCAGTCTGCTACTGAGGTCACAGGAACGCTTAATCAGCACTGAGGATGGGATGGACTGCGTCCTGCAGGAGTTTGATGATGACACAGGTAAACTGTCTTTTTTCCTTTCATTTCTCTTTTTTTGTTGTTCACATCAGTTCTTTTATGTCTTTGTACTTTTTAATCCTCTGTGTGCCCCTCTAACACTCTCTCTGCTGCTTGTTACTGTATTTTCTGTCCTGGTCCAGGTCTGATCCAGGTGTGGATTTTGTTACTAGAGCAGCTGACAGCAGCAGTGTCAAACTGTCCTCGCCAACACCAACCTCCAACCCTGGAGCTGCTCTTCACTTTGCTCAGAGAGGTCACCATTACACCAGGTAACACAGACAGGTGCTGCAAAACTGTAGGTTCAAGTGTGTTCACATCCATATCAGCTGAACAGTGTAGGACGCATAACCACAGATAAACGGTCTGATGCCCTGACTCTGCCAGAAGCTTTGTCCAAATAAGCAATCATACTCACACTGTGTCCTAACTGTGTCTCCTCGCGCCAGGTCCGGGTTTCGCCATCTTCTCCGTCATCCAGTTGCTGCTTCCTGTGATGTCACTCTGGCTGCAGCGTAGCCACGGCGACCACTCTTACTGGGATGTGGCGGCTGCAAATTTTAAACACGCCATTGGCCTGTGCTGCGAGCTGGTGGTGGAGCACGTCAACAGTTTCATACACTCAGGTGAGACTCACCTGTATGTATGTGTGTGTGTGTGTGTGTGTGTGTGTGTGTGTGTGTGTGTGTGTGTGTGTGTGTGTGTGTGTGTGTGTGTGTGTGTGTGTGGTGTGGGTTACCTCAGAGGTTTTGGGTTCGACACAGAAGTTTCTGAACAATTTCACGTTACTTTCCATTTTCCATGCAGTAAAATTAGGAATTTGTTTAATTGTACACCTGGAGCAGGAAGTCTTTGGTGTGTTACTCAGGAGCAGGAAGTGTGGCTACCAGAGTTCTCCATCACCAGAGAGGTTTATGAAAGACTAAGCTCCACTCTCAACCTCACTATTTTCCTCAAGTTTCAAGGGTAGAAAAGCATGCATCTGATGAAATTTGAGCATGGAGATTTATTTTTAACCTTTTAACTCAAGGTTGTTTGTTTAAAACATGTGTTTGTGCGCTGAAGTGAGCATGGCGGTGACTTGCTGTTCCACTGTCCGCCTCTTTAGTCAAATTGAATTGTGGCCACTCCACCTCGATCCCTTGTGCTGACGGGCTGTGTTGTGGTGTGTTTGTGTGTGTGTTTGTCTTATTGCAGATATCGGTTACGAGTCTCTGATCAACCTGATGTTGAAGGATCTGTTTAAGCTTCTGGTGGCCTGTGTGTCTGAACCTGCAGAAACCATCTCCAGAGTGGGCTGCTCCTGCATCCGGTGAGGACACATAACTCCTTATCTTCTTTGGGAGTTGTTAGTTATACATCTATCACCACAGTGAAATCCATGTGGAAACTTGAAATAATCAAAATCACAAATTAGGATTAGGATAGCATGTTTAATTTTTTTTATTTTAAATGGCAAGAGCCAAGATTTTACTGATTACCTAAATTATTAACAACTATTTGCTGTTGTCTGGTTATGATGCTCTGTATGCTGGTGTACTGTTTACTATTAGCCAAAGATTGATAAAAAAATTCTAACGGCAACAACGGTTTTTGTCTATATAAATCATAAAAAATAATTGCAATTTAAAATGCAACTGGAATATTGGCTAGAAAAATTGGAATTGGATAATTCCTAAATTGTTTTTGTTTAAGTTGGTACGAAAAGGGAATTCTGGGATTTTAGGGGCAAATTCTTAGAAGTTTGAAAGAGTAAGGCTTGTACTATTTTATATTTTTCTTATTGTTAGGAAATCCCATGAAAAGACCAAAACCAACAACACATTTATCCTTGTAACAACCATTGTCTGTGTATCCAAAGCCTGCCATGTCTTCTTCCTCTGTCCCATATACCTCAACTGTTGTTAAAAACACACCAATGAGCCACACTGTTGCACTGAGTCACATGTTCCTTCATTACCACCAAAGCAGTCACTACAGTTTATTCTGACCCAATCCCACATACACTATCCTGCTGCCCGGAATACTCACTCGAGCACCAAATGTGGTTTAATCTGCCGCTGAAAATAGTCCCCATCAAACGCATTATATTAGCCCAGTTTGAGTAATGTCTGCTGAAAACTACATGGCCCAGCTGTTTTAGGAAATTGCTGAGCCTTTTTAGAAAATAAACTTTATATATGTGAGGCATTTTTAAAGATTTAAGTCTTTAGTAGGAACCAATGGGCTTTCAGCTCAGCGTCACAAACACGGAAGTCGGGAGGTTGTCGATTAAAGATTAATTTCTTCTGACCTAAACACTGTTGTTTCTATTGTTCTGTTTCCAGGTATGTTTTGGTCACAGTGGGTCCAGTGTTCACAGAGGAAATGTGGAGGTTGGCCTGCTGTGCTCTGCAGGATGCTTTCTCTGCTACGTTAGAGCCTGTCAAGGTACGCACACACAGACTGCCACACACAATTGCATGTTAATACCAAGTGGTGCATAGAGCCAAAATGTCATATGTCAGCAGACAAGTAAATGAAAACAGAAGGAAAAATATACAGATACAAAAATGTACAAATATACACATACAGAAGCAAACTCTCTCTCACACTCAACAAGCCACTCCACTGTAGTAAACACAATAATCCATCGCCAATCTGAAGCTGCTGGTCGGGACAGAAGTAATCTAAAAGCCTATGCTGTTAATACTGTCAACATGCTGACACTCCATGTTAAGCTTGATAACCCCAGTTAACCTCACACACACACCGACAGAGTCCTGCAGCTGTAAGCAGCAACGGTGAGTCTCCCAACGGTGGCAGTTTTATTCTGGTCCACCTCTCTTCTCTCTGTTAAACTGGTTCAACTGGGAGGAGCAAGAAACAATGCTGCTTTAAAGCTTTCTTCCTTTCTTCGTCTGATGACTACTACTGTAGACTACTAACATACTACAGTTGATACCATATTTCTCCAAAAGTAAGATTTGCAGATCTGAACTGAATACCGCTTACCTTCCAAACATGTAAGAGAAACTATTGTGGCCTCAAAAATGCAAAAGACCCAATCTAGAGCCAGTGTTTACTTTGTCCGCTCTGGGCTACTGTAGAAACATGGCGATTCAGCATGGTGGACTCTGTAGAAGAGGACGCACTCCATCTGTCCATAAAAACAGCTCATTCTTAGGTAACGAAAACACAATGATTCTTTTTTTCAGTTTCACATACGTGTGTGTGTGTGTGTGTGTGTGTGTGTGTGTGTGTGTGTGTGTGTGTGTGTGTGTGTGTGTGTGTGTGTGTGTGTGTGTGTGTGTGTGTGTGTGTGTGTGTGTGTGTGTGTGCATTTAAAAAGTGTAATTATTTCAAAATTTGATTAGATTACCATTTCCCAGCCTGCTCAGCTTCATAAGAAATGAGGAGTCTCGTGTTAATTTGTTGATGACGGTACCTGCTGTGTGGATGTGGCGTTTTAGTGCTGTGGGAGATCACAGAGTACAGCCTCAGCTGGAATCCAACCACTGCTGTTTCATGTCAGCTACATTGTGTGTGTGTGTGTGTGTGTGTGTGTGTGTGTGTGTGTGTGTGTGTGTGTGTGTGTGTGTGTGTGTGTGTGTGTGTGTGTGTGTGTGTGTGTGTGTGTGTGTGTGTGTGTGTGTGTGTGTGTGTGTGTGTGTTCAGTAGAGGTGACATCGCCAGGCATTTTATTCGTGGATGTTGTGTGTTCCTACAGTTCTGTGGCAGCTGCCTGACTGACTGCAGCTAAGCAGCTTTACAGCTTAGATCCACATCCGTGTGTGTGTGTGTGTGTGTGTGTGTTTCAGAGAGAGAGATGATGACGGTGGTCTTACTGCCATTGACAGATTTTCTTTGCTTGTTTCCATAAAATATGATTTTAGGACTTTAACAGACCAAATGAGTTGTGGTTATTTGCTGAGCTAAGTTCTTAATGTCCTCTGTGTTAAAAGAAAAGATTGAAGATTAAATGTGGTATTTTATTCTTCCTTATTGGTGATGCAGTTTGTGGTGGAATGTATCTCACAGATGAGCAACTGCACCAGAAGTGATTAAAAAAAAAAAAGCCTCGATGTAAACTCACTGTATCAGGAGTTTTTAAGGCTTAACACATGGATCGCAGTTTAATATATAAAATCTCAACATATAATTTAGCAGGCTCTTAGCATAAAAATATAAGACATGCAGTCATTTTATTTATGTAACAACTTTTGTGACTGTGTTGCTAAGTTATTGTTTTATGTGGAACATAATATGTATTTATGTCTTATGGCCAGTTACATAAATGCTCCATGCTTCCAAAAGCCTGTTCCAGCTGCAATCACATATTAGGTGAAATATCTCCTTGAATACTTAAATGCTTTGAGTATTTTACGTCAGTTTATACTGTTTATACATCTGTTTTAAGATAATTCAATTTTTAAAGGAGGGAATGGTCAAAGTGCTGGCATATCTTTTTAAATTTTTAAGTACTCTTTTTACTACGTTGCAGTTTGCACAATAAACATTTTTATATTCTGTTTAATGTATTCTGATTCCTTCTCATATTGTATCATTTTGTGGAAGAAGGAAAAAAGGCCTAATAATCAAAGCCAAACATATCATAGGTGAAACTAAAATAACTCAAAGGAATGTATAATGTAACATACAGTTTGAAGTGTTTGTAGGACACTGGCCATCCTTCACATAAAGCTTACAGGATTTAGATGTCAGTCCTTAACATGTAGCTTATGCTTTCAGACACATAAACACATGACCTTTGACTGGGTTTATAGAAAAGCTGAATTTAATATAAGCAATGCATTCAGGTCACATCCATTATAATGTATGTGTGTATGTATATATATATATATATATATATATATATACTGTATATGTGCTGTATAATACTTTTATTAAGTTATATGGACGGAAACCCACATTTTCTCATCTCATTTTATAGTGTAGGGTTGGTTATTTTGTTTCTTCTTTATTTGTTTAAATTTTTCATTTTTTTAAATTTGTCATCCACATTCACAGCCTGTCTCAGTAATCCAATTTAGACAATCCCTCTGTTGGAAAAAATTAAATAAATGAAGTTTGAAACAGATCAAAATTGGTTATTTGTTTAGATTTGTCTTATAATCGAGCCAGTCGTCTCCAATGCTCCTGTTTGGAAACCTTACTTTTGCACACATTTAAAGGTTTACTTGCATTTGATCAACAGCTGCTCAGTTTGTAACCATGCTGGGAGCTCTGAAAACTTTGTTCAGCTTGGCAGCATTTTCGTTTTGACTTGACAGTTGTGTTGACTGCAGTGTTAAAACTGAGAGGAACTGCATCAGCTATCATTTATTTGTGTAACCAAATATATTTTTAGCTTGTTCCCTCCACGTTAATTTGATGCACATGCTGTAAACATATCTCTCTCTCTCTCTCTCTCTCTCTCTCTCTCTCTCTCTCTCTCTCTCTCTCTCTCCCTCTCTCTTTCTTTGTCCCTGCAGAACCTTCTAGCGTGTTTTCACAGCGGTTCAGACAGTTTTTCTGGAGACGCCTGCGAGGTGAAGGTGGCGGCTCCGTCCCACTCTCCTTCAGCTGAGGCTGAGTACTGGAGGATCAAAGCAATGGCTCAGCAGGTCAGTAAATGACAAGTGTACTTCCTGTGCTACAGAGCGGGACAGCAAAGAGGCCCAATTTTTATAGTTACAGTACTTCCCTGTTGCTACCACCTCAAATCCAAAGTCCAAATGTTTTTTTTAACCATTAAGGAACGTGGGAATCTTTGTTTTCTGCTTTAAAAAAATCTGTGGGCGCTACACACAAGAAGTGAAACATCCTCCTGCCAGTGTGACCATTTCAATCTCTTCACATTTTTGCAATTTAATGCATATTTACAACGATAAAACGGTAATTCACAGGGTTAGATGAGAAATTAATTGATAATATTTTTGCCACCGACAGGCTCAGATTGTTATTAAAGTGTCTGACAACATGATGCAAAGGATCCACACAGAGATGGAGCGTTTTTGTTAAAGAGTAAGAGCAGAACAGCCTGTATATTGCTATCACTTGCTACCAGATTATATAGACCAAAACAGTAATTTAACCTAGCAGATAATTGTAAAACATACTTCAAAATGGACAGAAAGAAAATAAAACTCACCAAAATTGCCTTTTTAGTATATATAACCTTTTAAGAAGAGGTCAAATAGAATTACAACATCTAAAATGCATAACTTAAACTTCAATAAACATGTGTAGCATCACTGTTAAATCTACTAACTACACTTTTGTATTATTAATACTAGTTGATCTGTTGCTGGCCCAGGAGAGGCCGAGTTGTTGATATGTCCTCTTTATGTCCCAGGTCTTTATGTTGGACACCCAGTGCTCTCCAAAGACGCCCAACAACAAGGACGGCTTTGAGCACGCTCAGTCCTGTGTTCTCATCATTGAGTTGCCGTCTGACCAGCAGTCCAATGGACACACTCAGAAGAGGTGGACAACATACACACAAATACACACTCAGAAGCATGTTTTTCTGCACATGTGATGATAATCAACCCCCTTGGTGTCATTTTCTAACTTCACACTCTAAACTAAAACCACATCCTCCTGCCCCCAAAATACTGCGAAAAACTCTAACCAACAAAAATCCATTGTTATTGGCTTTGACTTCCTTTTGGTGAGAATTATAGGGTCAGTGTTTAAAAAAGACACACATTACCCAAAGGTTCATTTGACTGTCAGACTTTTGTGAGCTACTATATATGACTTATTTTAAGTACATTTTATAGGGACATAAACAAAAAGGCCCAAGAAATTGAGATAATGTATTCCATTGCCCAAGAGTCATAAAAAACAAGCAAATAATTTACCTTTCTTATATTTATAGTATAAAACCAAGAAGGCTTGGATTTTAGATTTAATGAATTGACTTTTAGATTAGACTTTGCATTTACTATGTACAGCAATTATTTTGCTGTTCATACATTTTACTGTGGACATGCAAAGTAAAATTTCATTATATTTCTTATTTTGAACATTTAAAAACAATGTAAAACAATACAAGCAAGAAAAGAAACGCATAAACAGGAATAGCTAACAAAATTAGCAGCAAACTCACATTGAACATAAATAAATGATGAATCAATAAGGAAGTGAATACTTATTCTGTCGTACCCCATTTTTATAATTCATGAAAGGAGGACATACAATCTTATTTTGTTTTGAAAAACATTACTGGAAACAGAAATGCAGCCAAACCTAACTCTCACTGACATTTTTTCTTGTCTTTCTGCTGCCATGGTCACAGGAAAATTGGGTAAGGCTGTTTTCTGTGACATCTGTGACATTGTGTTTGTCAGATTTAATGGTGTGAAAAATGCCCACGTACAGTATGGCTCTGTATGATCTACATCGTCAAACTAACGTATCCAGCAATAGAGCTGCACAATGTGGAGAAAATATGTGGTGTGTGACAAATCTGTTGTATATTGGTGTTATTAGATGTGATAAATACTGAAAATGAGGTCGGATTTGCTGAGTAATTTGTTTTTGCATGTTAACACATATTAATAATTCCAAAATATATCATATAATGATGTTTCCTACATGTTTATAATGCATTCAATAATGTACCGCATTGATCTGCTGACGAGAGTGAAAGTGTAAACATAGATTTACACCAGTTGTAAAGTTGTCACAAGTTAGCATTGGCACCTAACTCATTTTGAATCATTGCATTGAAGGAATTGACTTGATTTTTCATGAAAGCTTCAACAAAGTGTCAGGCTCTGCTGTTCTGACCACACAGCCCATTTGGGTTTAATTGAAAATACCACAGAAACCTTATAATATGAGACATTGTGCAGCTCAGTACACATATTGTACCTGCATATTGTGCAGTGCAACACATTGCGCATTGTGCGTACCACTGGTATGCACCACAAGGTAGTGTACCACAAGGTGTCTCTTGTGATACACGGAGGAATCTCTGAAATATTTCTCAAAAAAGAAATGAATACATTTATAATACAAACAAAATACAACAAAATATGAGGTCGCTGATATGTAATTTGAAATGAGTTTTGCATTTCCTGAATATTTAGATTTTATTATCTTAAAACCTAAAAATAAAAGAAATCTCGAAGGGGATTCCTGAAGACAAAATCTTGTCAAATTGGGGGCCTGTGCTCTAATGTGCATCTGTTGTGGGGGTCCTTTGCATGAAAAAGGTTTGGGAACCCCTGCCCTAGAAATTCAGTATAATATGTTGTATGGCCTTATAATGTAAGAGGCCACTAATCTGAACAGTATTAATTTACAATACATAATGTACATTTAACGGTGCTGCAATATAAAGAGTTGATTTTCACTTACTGTTAAACTGTTGAAACTATTGAACCTTGTGGCATGAAACTTAAAAAAAAAAGAAGGGCGAAAATAGTTCCACAGATCAAATTATGAACACATCTGAAATTCTGGCCACAATATTTTTTGTTCAATTTAATGAATGAAATTGGATTTAACTGCGAGGGGAACATGTATTTTAGCTCCTCTAAAATCTAAGTAATTTTCTTCAGGAGCCACAATACAGTAAATTGGTTTATCACAGCTTAGTTACAGTAGAAGGCATTATCCTTGTTCATCTAAAATCTGAATGAATGTGATTTGACAGCCGTGCCGGTTTCTGAATCCTGCAGAATCCCATTCCGGACCATCGTGGTGAGCCTGCTGTCCCACCAGGTCCTGCTCCAAAACCTCTATGACATCCTGCTGGAGGAGTTCGTCAAGCAGCCCGAAGGTCACGAAAAGGTTACACCCGTGACCTCTGACCCCAGCAGAACCACAGCAGGCTTCCTGCGCTACATCTCCATGACTAATTTAGCCATTATCCTGGATCTGCTGCTGGACTCTTACAGGTTACTGCAACAAGAATTCAGGCATATATGCTGATGACAGTGTTGTATGTATCTGTAATCCTGCTGGTTTAAAGACCACAAACTAAGAGAGCTGGTTGATAATAATGATAATGTTGATCAGCTTTACACTCATTTGATTAATCTACTGATCTCTTCTGCAGGACAGCGCGGGACTTCGACACTCGCCCAGGTCTTAAGTACCTACTGATGAAGGTATCGGGTGTTTGTGGAGCGGCTAATCTCTACCGCCAGTCTGCCATGAGCTTCAACCTGTACTTCCAGGCCTTGCTGTGTGCCACACTGAGCCAAGCTGACGGCATGACTGCACAGCAGGTAGAACCGGAGACTACGTCCATTTTTACATACAGTCTATGTGTGAAAAGGGGTCACTCGTAGTGACAAATCAACAGATAATTGTCACACAACTCTTTTAGTTTTACAGCCCAAACTTTTCAGTTCTGGCTCAGTGCTCTCATCAACCTTGTTTCCCAAACAAGACAGACACAGTTAGACCACAGTGGAACATCTAGCAACTAAAGTGTCAGATATTTTGGAAGACAACAAACCAGAGCTAAAAGGAGGATAAATATTCCATTCATTCGTTGTCCAGAGACACACTATGTCTGCTTAATGTGTAAATAGGCAAGTGTTAAAACTTTAAAAGACTGCAGTATGTGTATGGTCTTCAGCTTCAGAAATGATTTATGCAGCTTCCAGTTAGTTTTCAGTTTGCCTTTGCTAGCGTTTGTTTGTTTTGCTTTTTTTTTAATTCAGTTCTACTGTTGTGCTTTCAGTAGTTGTAATGGACGAAGTTAAGTGCAGGTATTTTTATGTTGGGAACAAATGCATTAGATAATAATACATTAAAACTGATTAACTCATTTTTGTATCTAATAATCTGTACACCTTTGCAACCATTTGGCATTAACCTAATAAAGACATAACTATCTTAGCAACCACCTAGAAATGTTGTGCCACCATTTTGAAGAGGAAACCACTAACAAGTTATTAGCAACCAAACCTCATCTCATTGTATTTAGGTGAAGAGGATCCTGTATGAGGAAGAGGAGAGGAGTTCTGACTCCTCTCACCCTGGCTCTGCTTCCTCAGAGGACGAAGACATCTTTGAAGAAACAGCACAGGTGATCCACACACTGTTTCTTTTATCAGTAATACTAGGTGTGAAAAGAATATTGATCATTTTTGTATTACTGATTCAATAATATAGCAACGATTCAACTTACTCTCAGTTAATTAAAGCTTTGACAGTTTCAAACCAGGAAAAATCATCAAATGCATAGAAGATGATCTGTTTTCCATTCATTTGGAAAAAAAAAAGTAAAAGAACTGGGTAGAAATGATAAGCTGTGATAGACAAAAATAACAGTGCATGTACACTCAGAGGTCACAGTGATTGACAGGTGACTTCCAAGTGCACTACAGACACAAAAAAAAAAACAACAAATAAAAGATTTTCCTGGATTAGTCTGGCTGCTGCTCTTTTTTCATTCCTCTTTTGATTGTTCTTGTTTATCAAGGGTTTCCAGATTCTTGAACCTCCTAATGTAACAAGGAGGATAAATTATGTTTTTGTGGTATTAACAATCATCCACTTTAATCTGTGTTTCTTCCAGGTCAGCCCCCCTCGCGGCCGGGATAAACGCCACCACTGGCGAGCTCCCATCCCGTCTCTCAGCGTGCAGCCGCTGGGTGGCGCAGACTGGGCCTGGCTGGTCAAACGGCTCTACAAGCTGTGCATGGATCTGTGCAACAGCTACATTCAAATGCACCGGGACCTAGAGAGCACGCTGGAGGAGACAGCGCTGCTGAGAGGAGCAACAGGAGGAGGAGAACACTTCCTTCTCCTGCCTTTCTTACAGTCTGAGACTTCCACCCCGACGTCAGCAAGCGGGCTTTCAGCGAGGGGGACGCCATCAGAGGAGGGCGGGTACAGGTGTCAGACAGCGGACCTGAGCACAGCATCACCAGGAGACACGCCCACACCCAGCCCAGGATTCAGGTCCGACTTCACTCGTATCACAGTTTAGATGAGGCACAGTTATTCTAGAGATCCAAGATAGTGATGTTAGTTGCTCCCACCCTCCAATTTCACTCATATATTGGGGCAACTCAAAGTCTTATCTGGGAACAGCACATAATCCTGTAACACAACTCACACGGGGTGCTACAGAGTACACTGACTGTAAACAATCACAATGTGAAATTTCTAACCCAATATCCTCTTACACAAGTCCCAGTAGGGGACCAGGGGGATAAATAAAATTAACTTTTCCACCATTCTTATCTACAGTAAAGTCTGCCGCCTTGATTTCCACCTCCTGTTAACCCCAAAATCCCATTGGTCATGTGGTGTGTGGTTGAAAATGAAGGTCACTCTGAACCGACCTTACACCATGGGTTTTAATTGTAATAAGTTAGTGTGAGTCAATTCTCTTCTCTCTTCTCTTCTCGTTCTGAAGCAAGTGTACAGAACAGCAGATGTAAAATCAATCATAGTTCCTGTCTGTTGCCTCTGGTTCAGTGCTAGATAGCTAGTGCTCAGTCTGGGTAGTCACCTGTCCAGGTAAAGCAACCATTTCCTCTTGTTTCACAGCTGCACAGGCAGTCTGCCCCACCACTTCCGGACTGATGGCGAGAGGAGGGACTCCAGCATCATGGGAAGCTCAGTTGGAGGAACTCCTGGCAGTGCTGGACCTGGAAGGAGAAAGGAATGGTGGGAAAGCGCCGGCAACAAACTGTACACCATCGCCACAGACAAAACCATCAGCAAGCTGATGATGGAGTACAAACGCAGGAAACAGCAGCAACAGCAGCCGCAGCAGAGCCACGTCAATCTATTCATGAAGGAGCAGGGCCGGGCGGCTGCAGCTGGAGGAGGTGTTGGAGAGAGGAGGGGCCACGTGGAGCCACAAAGGCCCCCACAGAGGCCCCAGCATCTGGTGGACCAGCAGGGTCCCCCCTTGAGGCACTCAGTAAGTGCGGGACCTGAGGTCCTGAGGCAGGAGAAGAGACCACGGTCAGGATCCACCATCAGCTCCCACAGCATCTCACTGAGGGACTCTGAGGCTCAGATACAGGTACTGTATCGGGTCGTGTGTGTAATTGACACTTCCTAAGTCCTATATTGTGACGTGACGTTAAGTTAAAATGTTAGCAAGACGCATTGAACTAGCAAGCTAATCTACATTATCGATAGCTAGCTAGTTGTGTGTGTGTTTGTGTCAAGACAGTCTGCTTGTGTATTGAGCTTTGTTGTTGAAATAATTTTCTCTCTGTTTGCAGGCGTGGACCAACATGGTCTTGACTCTTCTCAATCAGGTCCTCCGCCTATCAGATTCCTCGTTCCTGGCGCTCCAGCCGGCGCTCTACCCCTGCCTTAGCCAGCTCTCCTGCCATGTGACCGATGCCCGCGTCCGCCAAGCATTGTGTGATTGGCTGGGTCGCGTCGGCAGACTCTATGACATCATTCTGTGACACTGCAGCGAAGGAATGCAAAAGCTGCGGACGAGGAGCTCAGTCTGTCTGTCAGTAAAGGACGTAACCAAGATGAAAGATGAATTTGATTGGTCTGATGCCACCATGTAACCGTAGATAATGAAGGGTTTGATTGGTCTGATGGTGCAATGCAAAGGGTGAGAAATGGCAGGCTGTGACATCATAACGTCCCAATGTAACAGACTGGTGGAACGGGGAGGGAAGAACAGGGAGGACACTGGCGAACATCATGTGACATTAAGTCGGAGGATTTGATTGGCTGATGCAGGATGTGGTGAGAAGAATCCAGGATTGAGTGTGTGAAGGTTTTTTTAATGGAATGGAAATGATTTGATCATGAATGTGCCATTTCTGCCTCTTGTTCCTCAATTGAAGTAGTTAATTTGCACACACACACACACACACACACACACACACACACACACACACACACACACACACACACACAGAGTTTTCAAATTTGCTTATCATCAGTGTCGAAAAACGGATTTGCAGAATTGCTCATGTTCTTGTCACATTATTGTCATTTTATCACTATATCATCACTATATGCCTCCACTAAGGCCATAAATAATTAATTTGAATTATTGCTTCATCCTCTTGTGGATTCAGACATCATGTGCAATGAATTATGATTGTTGTAGTTCACATGCATACTTTTCCCTTTACTGAATCAACGCTTTTTGAAAAGGTACCCTGTGGAGTTTGCTAGTAAGTAAAAACAGCTTTATTTACATTCAGAGGATTGCTAAATTTGTTAGTATGCTGCAGTCAACAACTGTTGGCGAGTTCTGTAACATGACATTAGATTTTTCCATTTTATGTTTCTCCTGTTCCACACCTTTGTTTTATGGCTTCCATACACTAAACACTTTCGCCTTCTGCAGTCAGCAGAAATGTGCAGCACGTCACCCTACACATGCAAATGTACCCCAGGGGGTACATGAAAGAAACTGGGGATCAAACCACCAACCTTCTGATAAGTGGACAACCCGCTCTACCTCCTGAGCCACAGCTGCCCAACTAAGTCATTGAGTCAACTGTAACAGTTTGTCAGTTTTTGTACAAATGGAAATAAATCAAAACACTGACAGTTCAACTTGAAAAAATATATCCACTTTTATATAGTCAATAGTGTTAACTGATACCCAGTTTAAAATCAATTCAAATGAACTTATTTGGAAGATGACTGGTGGTGTTGATGATCAAAGACTGTGGGGTTAAAAAAAAGGTTGGGAATCGCTGCTGTAGAGCATGAATATCCAAACAACAGACACTCACTCATCAAAATATTGCTCCATAGCACCACAAGTTGTCAAAAAATCAATTTTCTTATCTACTTTCAGCCCATTATTACTACTGGTTATGATAACAATGGGGACTAATAGCAAGAACTGTGGGTGGCCTACCAAACCCTGCAAGTTCACTTCCTCAGCAGTTAATATAATGGGGAAACATCCATATGCATAAACACAACAGTGACAGATCACAGGCACAAAATCCAGCTAAAATGAGGTAACATCACCTCAAATCTCAAAGTTGAAATTTATTTTATTTCTTCAGAGTCAGAGAGTGAGGCCACACTACATGCGGTGGAGACTTGTTTCGCATTTGATCCGATTGTATATGAATGTTTGTTGCTGCCATGCAATCTCTATATCCAGCTTTAAATACTGTGCAGTCTCATTCTCCTTCAACTAAATGTCTTTGTTTATTGTTCACTTTCTGGAATGAGATCAAGTATTTATTTTAACCAAATACCACATACAGTATGTGTATTTTAATGTTTAATGCCTATGATATACTACGTTATTTTTGCTGAATGTGTGTACATGTATTTATGTAAATGCTTTATTTAAAATATTGAATGTGTTATATTTAGCATTTTCTTTTGTTTTATTTTTTTACTTTTAGTTTATTTTCATATTGTACTACTTGGTGCACTGTGTGCTTGTACTATCTGATACTGTGCCATTTGCTTTTCTTCTTTCCGTTTAAGAGAAGATTTGAGATTTTAACAGTGGGGTTTGATTCCCACAGGAATCTATATATGTAGATTGGTCTGGTCTTGATAAAGCTTTACATCAGAGCCACCTCTACCAACTTTTTTTCTATAATGGCAGTGTTCTTCATCGAGGCCAATGCATGAAGTTAAGGCTGTTGGAGTTTTAAGATATGAACAGCATCATCAGTTTATATCAATTTTCCATCCTCAGAGACTAAATACCCACCTGCTTTTGTAACAAAACTGTTACAACTGTTTACAACAGTAAAACAGCCAACACATTGTTACATTTGAGAAGGGAATGTAGGGATGTAGAGGATGAACCCTGTAGGTTTCAATGACCACATGGCCTTTCCTCTATAACTACCCTCAGGACAAACTGAGCATATCTATCCCTAGCTATGTGATAAAAAAAAGCAAAATCACAACAATCAGAAAGTCTATTTTGTCCTTCTTACTTACTGAACTTGAGACAATCAGTCTATTCTACCAATCTGTAGTAGTATACCACAACAGATACACAGTTACAGTATATGACTGGATCTCTGGTTTGCAGAATGAGCTGAATCAGGACAGATAGTGACTGAATGAATGAATGAATGAAAAAAGATAATGTTGAACTGATGCTAACTTCACCAGCCCGGACCATATTGAGGGCAGCCAGGTCTGGGAGGGGCACTTGAAGCTCCTAAGGAGATTTACTCTTGTCCTTTTCATCTGCACTCATTGCTCTCTCTTTGCCGGCTCCTTCTGCTGCTCCATTCACTCTCATTTGTTCCTCTTATTGGCCAGCTGTCCACCACATAAGTGGCACCTAAGAACATTATCCTTCATGTCACAGGGATAATCATTTAGATGTCATCAGTGCTTGTCCCTTTATGCAACACTAGATACTGAAGGAGATGTAGGCAAGTTGAGCCCAAAATGATGATAGTCACCCACAGGTTTTTCTGGAGTTTGAGTTTAGGCTTCACTATTGTTTTGATATGTGAAAATGTGAGGAAATGCTCCAGCTACACCTTTTTGTCTTTTGAGATTCTTCTTAATTAAACTAACTTAATTGTAATCCCAGTCACTTCTGTTAAGCATCTGGTGGCCATCAGAGAAACTACTTGGTATGAAACTTGAATCCATCATTCAGCCATAGTTGTTGATGCATGAGATTAAACTTTTAGTGTCCAACCCCCCACTAAACCAAAGTGATGCAAGAAGGTATGTGTTCTCCACTTGGATGCTTTTCTGTTGCTATTTAGTAATTTGAACATGGAGCACTGCGTTACAAATTTCCGACTACACCTTTGCTATTAAAGAAACTTTTGCATCCTTGTCCAACTCACCTGTAGCCACAGGACCGGACTGTGCTCCAAGTGTGTGACACAATGTCCTCACATGAGTAGCAACTTAACAACCTTTAGAAGTCTAGGGGGCAGAAGTACTTGATTTTCTCTGGGAAAAAAAGCAAAGAACTACCATTGTTGTGGGTTTTTTTGCAACAAATGTATCATTTCCACGTTAAAATCATCTACTCCTTCTACCCTAATAATTCCAGAATATATGAATATGCACATTTTGTTAGTTTTCCTGCTGTCTCCTACTTCCCTGTAAAGCCCATTCCCAGTGTGTGCACTCTGGAGGCTTCAGGTTTTCATGTCAGATTTGTATAAGCTGCATACTGGACTGGGATGATGAATTTATGATGCTGATGTCACAAATCTTGCTCGTAGGCTCCACCCCTTAAAATGATATTTTCAATGAACACAGAGAAACTTTCCACTTTCAGCAGATGAATGTGAAAACACCCTTCTAGTGTCAAACTCTGCACAGACATTAGCACACTGTAGGAACTTTTGTTCCCACAAAGTAGCAATTTCCGATTGTCCAGTAAATGACACACAGCATGTGCATGTCTCTCTCTCTCTGTTCGGTCCTGTCTCTGCTGTCCCTCAGCCCCTCCCAGTGTCCATGACCTGTCCCCATTTTCTGCTGTTTGAGGGCGAGCAGCGAGTGGACAGATGTTGTCGGCCATCAGTGTGATCAGCAGCAGTGAAGGGGAGGATTTAGTTGGTGTTAAGTCTATGACAGCGTTTCCATCTAAAAAAAGACTAATGTGTCAGTGTCATGCAACAATTCTGCGCTGACAGTTCATGTTGTTGCTTCGCCTGGTTTTCATTCAGTCATTCATTCATTCATTCTGGTGACTGTCCTGCTTTCAGTCTCACGGATATTGTTTGTGTGTCTATGTGTCTTATGTCAACCTCCAAAGAGGAGCTAAAGCCTTTAGTCTGCACCTCTTTTTTTTAACGGTTTTACTACTAATGTATATGTGAGGTAGCAGCACTGAGATTAAGAGATTGAATCATGAATGTAGAGGTTGTGGCACGCTGAAGAATCATCACGAGCGCAAACGTCATCTCCTCTCTAAGCAGATTTGATGCACTTGGGCATAGTTCAGTTTTGAAGAGAAGCTCCAAATCCGTCAATTGTCATCTGTTCCATCACCAGGAAGATTTTATGAGAAAGTCTTTGCTAGATTTTAAGCTCTTTCGCTTTGTAACAGTACCTTCCTCCGTCCTTGTGCTGCAAACTGTAATCGCATTTCTACTAATAATTTACAGTAAAATCATCTACAGTTTGGTCTTATTGTGCCGTCAAGGGATTACTGGGACGCTGAACAGATTGACCTAGTATACTCGCTTAGCTCGGAGCTCAGACAGATTGCTAAAAAAGAAGAACTTGCTGAAAAAGTGGAAAAAGTCTATAGTAGAAAACAAAAAAATCACTGAACTAGTTTTTTTTAGAACTCAGTAGGTGGATGAGTGACTTGGCTGTTTGTGTGGCTGACAATGTGACTCACTGGCTGCTCTGTTGGAGAAATCAGTTCCTGAGGGTTTAGTTTGATGAACTGAGGCTGAGCGACTGTCTGAGAGCGTAGGAGTGAAAGCAAAGCAGCTTTTGACAACATTGCCCTGTTGTCAGACACTGACGGAGAAACTATACATGACCCAGACATCTGACACAGTTTCTGAAGTGGAAGATCACATGGCCGAGGGTGTCATAATTAACATATAGCACCAGAGAAATAAAAGGTCATACCAGTCGCCAAAGGAATTATTTTTTTTTTTCAAATAGGCATATTTACATATTGCAATCAAGTTGTGTTCTTGAAGAATTGTTCTTAACGGGCATATTTTGGCGGTAAATGCTGATTTAATTCACCCAACTTTTAACCTGACTGCGCCAGGTGGTTTGTTACACAGAACCATCTGGGAAGTTTGTAAAAGGGCAGGCACTTTCAAAAACATACTCGGCAGGTTGGTTGGGATTGGATGAACCATCTGTCTATCGCCGTCTATCACAGGCGAACTTCAACCATTCAGATCAACTAATCATATAACTTAGTGAAACTCTTACCAAAGCCAGTCAGCGGAGAAAGAAGAAAATATAGAATAGGCACGATTTCAGACGAGGTAGAGTATTTAATGCAAACGCACTGTCTGTGTCCTTTTGGATGATATCAACAAACACCAGTATGTAGGAGAGACTGTGTGTGATTTTCAGGCTGTTTTTGGAACGGCACGACTGTAAAAATGTATGAGGCATCCGACTGTATCCCTGCAGATGAATGTGCAGAAGGTTCCTGATATGAACACATTCAGCACATTCTGCACATTCATTCAGGTGCCTAGTTTGACTGTTTGCTTCCTCCACTGACCTCAAATGCTCCGCCGCAGGACTGACATCAGCCGGTCAAGCTTATATTGTGACTGTGATGATTTCTAAAAGTGTATTTTTTTCTGCTTTTGATATCAGAGAGAAGCACCTGTAATCTCTCCTTATGTTTCTGACCTGCTCTGGCTCTCCTCTTTCCTCCTGAGCTCAGTCTTACAGTTGTGTAACTGCTGTATGTTTCAAAGCGCTTTTCCCAGAAGGCCTGTCTGCTCTGTGTGTTGTACAATAAAAGCAGTTTCTCTCATGTGTTTCTCATCATGTCCATCTTCACATCTATGAGAGTAATCTGTTCTGCGTCCAACAGTGACTTATGACAATTGTTCATACTCAAAAGGTGCTCAGGGTCAGAAATGGGTTTTAGAGGAATATCTAGTTGAGAAACTTGGTGACTTGTGTGTTCTTTATAGACATTTATTTTGAATGTTTCCAATTTCTGCCATGCAGGTCCAACATTCCCAAAAGGTAACAGTACTCAATCAGTATCAACTTTAAGGTTAATCTGACCTGCCGAAGTGTCATCAAGAAATTATTTTAGTTTATCATAGAACTCTATGTGACAAACAAGTAAGATACTGAAACTTTGATCATTTTTAGAGTTAGAAATCCTCCCTATTCAAACTGATGCTTTGCTGCCAGCTGGTTTGAGCAATGATTTTAATGTAGTGGTCACATACTGTATAGAACTGCAGGTTGTGGCGGTACTGATTCCACAAGTCTCAAGGAAAAGGAACTTGAGAACCAGTTCCCAACCACATAATACCCACAAAACTCACCAGTACTTTAACAGTGAAAACATGCCTCTTCAATAGGTAAAAAAAATGGCAAGGAAACTCTTGTTCGAATGACATTAAAGTCTGGCGTGGCACAAGTACTAAGGGGTTCTACGTTTACTCTATGTTCAGATACAGAACTCTTACTTTTTTTATGACAAACAAGAGACAGCAAATAAATCTCAGTGGGACCTAAAACCAGAGCTCCTGGCTGACTTTGTCTGATGAAGTGAGTTGAACTAAGGATCAGAAGGCCCTGGGTGTGCAGTTCCTCACCTCTTATGCCTTCAAAAATGTGGGTGTCGTCACATCCTGATTGGCCAAAAGTGGAATAATCAAGCTGCAGGTACCGTGATGTCTCTGTGGTGTTAAGGATGAGGCTGAAGTGTATTGTTGAACAAAGTGTTGACACATGAGAGCGCTGTTTGCATCCTGTCTTCTACAACCATTCATCATTGACTTTTTTCAACCATGAATTGACAAACAGAACAGAGGTGGCAGATCAGTAAATGCTCATACAGTGGTGGAATGTAACAAAGTACATTTACTCAAGTACAAATTGAAGGTTCTTGTACTTTACCTGTATTTCCATTTTATGTATTTCTCCGACATTACATTTGTCTGACAGCTTTAATTACGTTACAGGTTACAGTTGTTTATACCCGTCCTGTCCACTGAAAACCATATATTTCCAAATTTGGTGATTTAGATAAATAAAGTCCTTATTATATAAATTCTTAGTGTTGTAACTTACAGTAATTAACCTTGATGTGTGTATCTACCTTTGCCATGCTGGGTCCTTGAATTTGAGGGAACTGGGCCTGAAAGTTCTTGAATGTGATGTTTAAGAAGGTATGGGAACTCTTTCACAGGGTTGTGTTTTGCTGCTGCTGACCAGCTCTCAGCGGCTGTAAATCCTCCCATCAGGACCAGTGACGCGTCTCCTCTCAGCTGGACACACAGACTGTCTGTTGCCCTCATTTCTCCCACCCTCCTCCCCCCTCCCAGTCATTATTTCAGGCTGATCACTTCAGCCCTGCAGGCAGTGTCCCTCTGAGCTCACAGCAGACTCGTCTTCCTTGTCTCTCCATCCACTGCACCTCTTCCGAGTTGCTCTCGGCCTCTGTAGCCCCTGGCTCTGGCTGGGCCTTAGATCCTACACCCATCCACCATGCGGTCTCTGATGGACAGCAGTTGGATGAAGTTTGGACCGGCCGGCCGGGACTCTCTGGACTGGTCGCCTGGACCCTCAGCTCTGCCCTCCACCGACAGACAGGCACCGGTGAGTTTATCCACATCTAACGGGTGGATTGGGACAATTTTCAGCATGAATCTGTTGACTATTTTTAATCATTAATCTATTAATCATTTAATCTGTAACAAATAAAAAATTAAAATGAATACAGCAAAGAAGTATTTCCAGATACACTCAAATTTTTATACATTATGAACTAACTAAACTATTAACTTCTTGGGGAATTTTACTAACATTACAAATAATATAGCATAACAAAAACAGTGCTTTACAAAAAAAACAATAATAAAAGCTATAAAGATATAAACAGGATAAAATAATCCAATAAATTACAACAAATACCATCAGTTAAGAAAAAGCCAAACAATAAAAGTGAGTCTTTAGCAGAGATTTAAAAGAGGATACTTCCTGAGATCATTAGGCAGGGAGTTCCACAACTGAGGGGCAACGGACAGCAAAAGCCCGGTCACCTTTGGGTGTAGCTGTGAAGGATTATCCAGTAAAGACAGAAAATCAAAATATGGGCTTGCACATGCTTCTGGCTTTATACAGTGTATCAGCAAAATGATGGCATTCTGGCATTTGGTAAGTGATTATATAACAAGGTATGCAAATGCCAGATAAAGTCCTTTTCTGATTGTTGATTGTTTTAGGTCGATGGAGAGTTAATCAAAGATCCTTTTGGAAGTTTTCATTTTGAACTTCACAGCCCAAATAATTTATATTCTTTTCTTTTGTCCTCCATTATGTTGTAACTGAAAACTGCATGATTAAATGTATTTTTTACATACATACAACTGATTGAATAAAATAAAAAATCTCTACTTAAAGACCGTTAAATTCTAATCCAAGAGATGTCGCTGTGTTGAAAACTAACTGTGGCTCATCTAAAACCAACGCCCTATCCTCACTGGAATTAAACATTTCAAGTGTCTCTAAAACTATTTATAATTTATATATTTTGTTTTAGTGTTAATTGTGTTAATTCAGAAGCAGTGACTCTTTGATGCTTGTACTCCAACATCTGCAACAAAAATGTACTACATTTTGTTTTTAAAATTCAGCTTTTAAGGTTACCCGATCTTTATCATGCATTCAGACCTTTAAACAGTGTTTAAATGTAAGTTATATTCAGTAGCTGTGTGCTCACAGTACCCATCAGCAGTTGGAACATACTAATTCACGGAGAGGCCACAGTTGTTTGTGACTGACAGCACCCTCTGTTGGCCAGATGTTGTATGAATATTAACTAACTCCAGTATCCCCTTTAATAATAATCATAATTGTATTTTTTCTTCATTTTAAGTTTTTCTGTTTTTGTCACAGATGTCACTTACTTTCCTCCAACAACCAGATATTGTATCACCTTACTTTAAAAGCACTGCACAGTGTAGTAATTTGTTGTTTTATCAACAATGTAAAGTCAAACATGAAAATCTACATGTCAAAGAGAATTTTTTATATGTGAATATTTTATTCATTTTTCTCATTCCACTAGTTATGACAATATTCACTTCATATGTTAAGATTATTTGTAAAATGTAATTAATTAATGCAAGAAAAATGTAAGAATGCATTCATGTATTTATGTCTGACTCACAGGGCCAGAGCTCAGGAGAGGCCATCGTGAGTGCAAGAGTCATCACCTACATCACCATAGCATCCGTCTCCTTCCTCCTCCTCTTCCTCAGTGCCCTTGGCTTCCTGATGTGGCGCCGTAGGCGTGGCTTCAACCTTAACGGCAAGCTCGGATTGGCCAACGTGATCGCCCTGGAGGACTTGCAGGATCCAGAGAGGAACTGCGAGCTGCTGTCCTCCATCCGACGCAGTCGGAGGGAGCACAGGCTCCCCAGTTCCAGCTCAGAGCAGGATGTGACGGACGGCGTGTTCCTAATGGTCTACCTTCCCTCACCGTATGAACAGACACTCACCAGGATTGCCAGAGCTGCCAGCACAAGCAGCAGCTGCAAGGACATGGAGCTGCTGCCGCCGAGTCCTGAACCAGAGACAGGCAGCAGAGAGGCAGAAGAAGAGATGAGGCTGAAAGACAAGGCAATCATAGAGGAAGAAATCAAGGACTGAGTCAAGGCAGAATACAGGGTGGATGAACATCATAATCAACCCTTTTCTACCCGTTATACATCAATCTAGATCTTAAGGGAAGCAAGAAAGATGAAAACAGACAAGACTTCAAAGAATAGACTGTCATCACCCTGCCCTGCTGCACCAAGACCTCTTTGTAGATCTGTATAGATTTTTAGATATGGTGTGGTTGACTGGGATCCAGAACACATTATCTGTCTTCAAACCTCCCATTGGATTAATATCCTTGGCGATTCTCCTTTTAACAGACAAGTTCAATGCTGCTGAGCACTCCTGACTCTCATACTGCATTGAACTTGTCTGTTAAAAGGAGGGAGACGGAAGAAGACTGTTTTTTTTATGGTCTTTTACAGGAATCAAACCTGATTTTCTAGTTACAAGAGAGTCCACTAAGACCTGTGTCTGTACCCTGCTCCACCTGCACCATCCTGTACAGTATAGAAATAACTGAAGAAGGTGCAGAGTGTATTTTACGTATTTGTTTACAGTGATCATTCCTCATACATAACCTGGAAAGACACTGTCACTCATTTGCTTGTTTTGTTTGCACATTGTAAAAATGTACATATCATTCAATTTTTTACTCTTACAATGTGTATTTTCTCTGTAACACAGCTGTAGCCTCCTTTTATGGTATTTTCCCAATTATGACCTTAAATCAAAGTGAGCATCAACAGTTTTACAGTCTGTAATGAAAGCAGAAAAAAATCTTTATTTTGTAATACTGACATTTGTATTATTTTTTGCTGTGTGATATTCATGGTACATTCCTTTTTGTCTCATTGTTTGACCTCTGGATACAATGACTGACAATAAAGTGGTTAATTCTGATTTCTACAGTACCTCTCTGTCAGTATTTTGCAGTGTTTCATCTCTCACATCTCACCAGGAAAAAAAAGAGAATTGTTTAAACACAAAAAGAACCTCTGGCAGCCCGGGACAGTATCAGTGTCCTCTCTCTGTAGCAAAGACAGGAAGTAGCATGACGTCATTACGCAGTCACATGGAAGGAGGCCGTGACCGTGACATTTCTGGACCCCACAGTTCACATTCCATAGAGGACTGACAGAGGACGCTTGTTTCTTTTAACCATGAAAGTGACAGCTTTCATAACCA